ACTCAACGTGTGATACTGGAAACTACTTTGTGATTCCGGGGTCTACTACTGATGTGTGGGAAGCTGATAATTTTCTGGCTTCACACAAAGATAGTTATCGTACTAAGATGGGCTATGGATCGGAAGACTTCATTATTGCAATTGTCGGAAGTCAACTTCTTTACAAAGGTCTTTGGCTGGAGCAAGCCCTTGTTTTGCAGGCTTTGCTACCTATTATTTCACACTCGGAAAATGATGGGAATTCTAATTCTCATTTCAGAATTATTGTCGTAGCCGGAGGATCAAATAGTAACTACAGTATGGCTGTGGAGGTAAGAAAGCAATTTTCTTTGTTATATTTATAAGTCATTGGTAAAGTACGAGAGTTTGACTTATATGATAGATTCATTGTTGTTTAGCTACTGTTTGTTCCTATAAGCTGGCTAACTAAAAACTAACTTGGCAGGCAATTGCACAGAACTTGAAATATCCGAATGGAACGGTGAAGCATTTTGCTCCAGATGAAGACACAGAAAGTATCTTGAGTATTGCTGATATTGTGATATATGCATCATTCCGTGAGGAGGAATCTTTTCCAAGCACTTTGTTAAAAGCGATGCGCTTTGGGAAACCTATAATAGCCCCTGATCTATCAATTATCAAGAAAAATGTAGGGTTCAAACTTAAGTTTTCTTTCTGACACACAAATGCATGGTATATTTTAGTTGTGAAATAGATGGATAGCCTGCTTTTCGGTGGGGAATTGCTTGAGCCTTGCTAGATACTGTTCCAGTTCAGCTTGAACTTGCTGATCCTAGAATAATGGAGCACTTAATTGATTGGCTCAAGTTAAAACCACATTTTAAAAAATAGAATTAGAGTTAGCATGCACATATTATTTGTTACTTAAAGATCCATTTCTATGTGTAATAAGGAAAATAAAAAGGAGTAGCAGTAGCAACTAAGCAGCTTTCCTTGTCAGGCTTGCGAGCTTGATGAGACTGGCTTGCAGAAACTTGAGCTCATTTTTTTAGCCTGACTGCCTGAGTTGTCAAGTCAGCATTTTTTTTACATGTTAGATGTATATAATTGTATCCATGGGACATCAACTGTTGATGACCTCTTAACTCCTCTTCTTGTAGTTGTATTTACTGTCTTTTCAAAAGAAACTGATTGTTTGACAACACTTATCAGATTGATGACAGGGTGAATGGTTATCTTTATCCGAAACAGAATGTTGAGGTTTTAACACAGATAATGGCCCAAGCTGTTGCAAATGGTAAATTGTCACTGCTCGCTCGAAATGCTGCATCTATTGGGAGGCAAACAGCTAGGAATGTTATGGTTTCAGAAAGTGTTGAAGGGTATGCTTTGCTATTGGAAAACATTCTTAGGTATCCGGCTGAAGCTGCAAATCCCCAGTCTGTGACTAAGATTCCACTCAAATTGAAATCAGAATGGCAGTGGCATCTTTTTGAAACAATTGACACAGAACACACTCAGAATAGAACTTGGAGGACCTATATGTCATTGAATAAGCTTGAAAAGCAATGGAATCATACTGAAAAAGAGAGTTCTGTGGCAATGAGTGACACCTTTGTCTATAGCATTTGGGAGGAAGAGAAAAATATTCAGATGGCAAATAGGATGAAGCGTAGAGAAGATGATGAGGTGAGTGATGTAGTACTCGTTTCTTTTTCATTCTTCTAGTAGAATATTGAATGCTTGATTAGGAAATTAATTTACAGAACCAAAGCCCTCCCCTCTCCTCCCTTTTTCATGGATTTCATTCTGGAGTTTACTTATCTTACATTTGGATTTTGATGCAGTTGAAGGGCAGAACTGATCAATCTAGGGGAATATGGGACGAAATACAGAAAAGTGCCAAAAGGGCTGACCGGTCAAGGAATGATTTGCATGAAAGGGATGAAGGGGAGCTTGAAAGGACAGGTCAACCATTGTGCATATATGAACCTTACTATGGGGAAGGGACCTGGCCATTTTTGCAGCATACATCACTCTATCGTGGACTTGGACTTGTGAGTCACTTTCTTATATATGATTACTTTTTCTAGTTTATAAATATCTAACGATCTCACATGGTTGCCTGGACTGGCTAACTGTAGTCTACTAAAGGACGAAGACTCGGTTATGATGACATTGATGCACCATCTCGCCTTCCGCTGCTAAATAACCCTTATTACCGAGACATCCTTTATGAATTTGGAGGCTTTTTTGCAATTGCAAATCGGATAGATCGCATTCATAAAAATGCTTGGATAGGCTTCCAATCCTGGAGAGTGACAGCAAGAAAGGTTTGTTAACTTTCCCCATTTGTTTTCTTTTCAATCTTTTGGTTGATTCTTGCTTTGAGGAAGACCCGAATCAATAAGGTAGCTGTTTGACTACTGCCTACTGGGGGTGAAAGAATATGTATTGGAGAAGGGAATGAAATATATTGCTGAGAACAACTGATATTGGGTAATCTATGTAAAATGATGTTCTTAACTTGGGTTATAAACAGGGATCTTTGTCTAAGATGGCAGAAACAGCATTGTTGGATGCTATTGAAGCACGAAGATATGGTGATGCTTTATTCTTTTGGGTTCCTATGGACATGGATCCAAGAAACCCACAGAAACAGGATTTCTGGTCGTTCTGTGATGCTATTAATGCAGGAAATTGCAAGTAAGATTCAACACGTTAGTTTTCTTTCCTCATACACCAGCCACAGAGCAAAAGAGAAGGAGATTTTCCCCTATATTTGTGGGAATTTATTCTTGGAAATCTTTCCATCTATAATGTGTGAGCTTAGTTGTTTCTTGCTTTATTGAAGGTTTGCCTTCTCTGAGGCTCTGAAGAAGATGTATGGAATTAAACAAAATATAAGCTCTCTTCCTTCAATGCCTGCCGATGGAGGCACATGGTCTGTAATGCACAGTTGGGTTTTACCAACCAGATCTTTCCTGGAGTTTGTAATGTTCTCAAGGTTTGGGGCTTGTGTTTTTTGGCTCTGCAGGGCATAATTGATCCTTTACTACATTTCACCTGACCTGAATAGAGTTTGTGTGTCAACTAGTAATATCTGTCTGATAAATGATGCGCTCATATTTTGCAGAATGTTTGTGGATGCACTCGACTCGGAATACTATGATGTGCATCATCAGAGTGGATTTTGCTATCTGAGTTTAGGCAAGGTAACTTCAATTTTCAATTGCTGACTTGATTCATAGCTAGAAATTTTATGCCTAGGCAACCCTGTTTTTGTAAAAAACCATAATAGAACTTAGCATTAAATGCCCAAGAAGGCAAGAACCACTGGTTAAAAGAAACATATCTGCCTTGTTTTGTAGCCTATCAGCTAATTTTGGCTTATTTGACCACTATAAACTGTTTGATTTGGTTAGGCCCTGTTTGGTAAAATGGCTGTTGGCTGATAGCTGTTAGTTGTTAGCTGATTGTGTTAATTAGAGGGTATAAATAGTTGATAACATTAACTGATTGTAGAAAAGTGTTTGGTAAATTAGCTGTTAGCTGTTTGGTATAATTTCTTTTTTCAAAAAGCTAATTGAAAAAGTTGCTTGGGGTAGCTTTTTCAATTTTAGCCTTTTGGAGTTGCAAAAAGCTAATTAACCAAATATTTATATTGATATTTTAACTAAATCAAACAATTAATAGTGGTCAAATAAGCCAAAATTGGCCTATAGGCCAATTTTTGTAACAATTTATTGCTCCAAAATGCTAAAATTCCAAACGCTACTCAAAGTAGCTTTTTCGATAAGCTTTTTTAGAAAGTCATTTTGTATGTAATCAGCTAATAGCGGATTTACCCAACACTTTTCGAGAATCAGCTAATGCTATCAACTAGTCAAACCTACTAACACAATCCGTTAATAGCTATCAACTAACAGCCTTTTACCAAGCACCCCCATCATGTAAGATACTGACTGAGCTTGAGTATTTTATTATGATATGCCATTGATTTTACTGCCTTGGCTAGCAGGACAAGCATTGTTATTCTAGGATGCTAGAGTTGCTTATAAATGTATGGGCATACCACAGTGCCAGAAGAATGGTATATGTGGAGCCGAAGACTGGGTTGATGGAAGAACAACACAAACTGAAGAGTAGGAGAGGTCATATGTGGGTGAAATGGTTCCAGTACAGCACTCTTAAGAGCCTGGATGAAGAGCTGGCAGAGGTGTTTGATTCTGAGCACCCGAAAAAGCGGTGGGTATGGCCATTGACGGGGGAAGTTTTGTGGCAAGGAATCTTGGAGAAGGAGAGGAATCAAAGGAATAAAGAGAAAGAGAAAAGGAGGCAACAGAGCAGGGATAAGATCTCAAGGATTAGAAAACGGAGTCGTCAAAAAGTAATAGGGAAATACGTGAAGCCCCCACCAGAGGACATACAAAATTTAAACGCAACACAAGCTGCAGTACAGCATTTGGTATAGCATCATCATCCTGCTTATAAGTAGTCATTGTCTAAAGTTAGTCCGATTTCATAAAATTAGTTTTTGCATTTTAGCCCCTACCATTTTTTCATTTTTGAGCAGAAAGATGGCCAAGTTAATCCCAGTGAGAAATTTCTTGAGCCATCACCAATGCTAAAAAAACCTAAACACTCATTTGAGATATCATTTATTCATATTCTCTTTGGATTTACTGTTAATGGGTGTGCGACCTTTATAGATTCCCAAGCTTCTGGTCTGTACTCTAGTATAGCCTGTATGTTCAGGTGTTAATGTTACCCCTCCCTTGATGTTGTAGTGTGACAAATTATATACCATGGACTAGGATCTATTTTGTATTATAGACCTTGCCAAAAATAACATTAGAATTTTGTATTTATAATTGATGCATTATGTCTTCTTTCTATATCTATAATTATAATATTATGTGTCAGCAATTATTAAGTTACTCCGTATTTGTTTATATGTACAATAATTATTAGCTATAAGTGTACATTACATTATTACTAATATTCCCTTCCCCTCCTATGGGTCCATAACAATGCAATTCCAAAGTGGCTCATAATACTATCTTCAACCATAAAATAATAAGAATAATAATAATAATACATGACAGTGTGGTAAAGCCACCAGGTACGGTACTAGAACCAAAATTGTTACAATGGAGGAACTAATGCAATTGCTATAGAGTATCAATTTTGAAACAAAATTTCATTCCAAATACCCTCCTTCCTCGCTCCTCTCTGAAGTTTGTTTCTTGGGGTAGAGATGCTTTGATCATGTATTTAGCTAGCCGGTTACAGCTCGCAGCCAGATTGACAGATTACCATCAAATTCTTGGAGCTGCACCAACACAAGATGAGGAATCATCAGATGAGAGATCATTGATGGAAAATACTATATATATATATATATATATATATGCATGAGCATTACAGTTATAGCACTGGAAAGAGATTTTAGTCTTACCTCCACCAATTGTTGCTTCAGGCATCCGTTCAATTGAGTATTTGTGTTGAGTGATATACATGATTGGTACACCAGGTATCTGATTGTCAAACAGTGTAAAACTTCATATCACTAAGAACAAGAACAATAAATAAAATTAGCAATTAATTGCATATTACTGCTTACCTTACGGATCCTTCGCTTCAAATCTCGATCACACGTTGCAACAATATAGCACTTGTGCTATTAAAACCAACAGAAGGAATGGAAAATCACATAACTAATCATAAAAAATGCTAGGAAGAGTAATTAACAGTCTCCAACAGGAATATGCATTATAGACAGACTAGAGATAACACCAATTAAGTGTAGTGGAGATATGAATATTTCAAAAGAAGGAAAAATAGGAGAAAGAAAATATTATACCTGGGTAACCCTATCAACAAGACAGTCATCAGCATAAGTTCCTTTATGAGTACAAGGAAGCCTTTCAAATCGAGGATCCTTGGCAATTCTTTTGTGTGGGTAGAAAACACAACGCAGAAAAGAGAGGAGATCAATTAGTACACAACACAAACACATAACAATTATTATCAATATATCAATCATTACAAGTAGAATCAGTGTGCTTAATGTTCTGAATAATCATGCCTTTGATTCACTCTTAACTGCAATATCTCCTTCCAAGGCATTACTTTGTACTATACTAACCACCCTTTTTTAAACATTGTTTTATTCATCACTAACAAAGTATACAGTTGTGAATTGGATCAATAAGAAGACTAACAAAATACCTGAGGGCAACTCGGTATTTTTGACCCAGCTTCTCAAGCTCAGCCATCACACAGTCCGTAATACAAGGAGTGCCTGAGGAAAAAACACAACAACAAAATGTGTGTAAGCTCTATTGTGAGTGAATATGAAAGAACCAATTTAGTTCAATGACTCTATGCTACTGCAGGAAAACTATGTACTTCTTTCCAAAGGTGAGAGGTGAATAGGAAAATGCACTAGATCAAGTAGAAATTTAAAACTAGTTTTAGCACTACAAATAATAAAAATGTAAACCATGCAAAAGAGAGAAATTGAGCTAAACGGAAAGAAGACATAGTAGTTACTTACATTTTGCATACAAGCAATCCATCATTCCTTTCTCCAAATCCAACTAAACACAAATTTAGAGTTGGTTAGCCTTCCCGTAAAAGTAACCACTACTTAAAGCTATAAATTTTCAGAAGGGTATGAAGATTAGAATGGATTTGAAGACTAACTTTATTCTGAATGGAGAAATTGATAAAGTTGGTATCGACCAACACTCTATAAGGGGGTCCCAAGGCAGTGTTATACTTGAAGAAGAGGGCAGAAGAAACATAAGGCCTACAACACATAACAAATATCAGCTCAATATTCAGCACTACGGATGTAATTAACCATATTATGTGTGTGTGAAAAGAAAGATGCTTACACGTTCCGCGGGAGCTTCTCTTTGCTCAAATCTTTCTTCTTTGGGTTCAAAACCTCCTCTTTATGCCTGAAAGCCACAGATAAAACAATCAATACAGCACAAATTAAGTAAAATGCATATATATAGAAAAAGAGAAGGCAAGCTTACTGTTTGATAGCTTTATGAGTCACAATTTTCTTCATAACGGCGAATTTGGGGGACTTCTTAGCTTTTCCCATTGTGCGATCACAGTTGTTCGGAGTTCAGTGACTTAGTGAAGCAGAGCCACAGAGTGCTGAGTGGCTGAGGTGAGGTCCGCAGAGCCACTGAGTGCCTGAGTCCCGTACGGTCGCCGCTGAGTCGATGAAGCGAGGGACAGCCTGACCGGAGCGTCGCCGAGGGCGGAGGGCGGAGGGCGTGAGGCGGTGAGAGACGAGAGAAAAGTGGAGAAGCCCGAGAACGGAATAAGGGACTAGGGATCTAGAATTACACCGTATTATCAGTTGGACCTTTGTATCAGGCTTGACCGCTTGGGAGAGTCCAAAGTTTTGGGCTCATTTTCTCTTTTGGGCCCAATAGGCCTGATTTTTTTCGAATTAGACTGTATTATCGGTTGGACCTTTCTATCGGGTTGGCCGCTTGGGAGTCCAAAAGTTTTGGGCTTATTTTCTCCTTTGGGCCCAATTGGCCTGATTTTTCTGGAATCTCACCGTATTTTCCAGTTACGCCACATCATCATTTTCACTGGACCCACCGAGTTCACCAAATATCTAGACACACAGTTGGAACTTGGAAACCCGCGAAACGTCTCGAAACCCGTAGAAAGCGTTCCCCAGCTAACCCGCCACCCTATATAATACAAATCGCATCTCAAAGGAATTTCAGGAAAAAAAATAAAAATCAGAAAGGTACTGATCAGATAAACAACTGCGCTCCGATTTTTTTCCTTCTTTTTTTGGGTTGGTGGATCGATTTGAGCTGACAACTGAGTCATCTGGATTCGTGGAACAGATTGGTGGTTTTTGTTTTTCTAGTTTTTTACACACTGTAAGTATATCTAATCCTAGCCCACCTCATACCTGTTTCTTCTGTTCATCTTTTAGTTATTTGTTCTTCATTTGAGTTTAATAATTGTGATATTTGTTGTGTAATGTAGGTGTTGCTTAAGATTGAAATGGTGATTTTAGTATTTGTATTTGGTGACTGAGAACGGTTTTTAATCCAAACCAGCAAAGTTAATTTTAAATTTTTAGGAAAGATTCTAACAATTTGTATGATAATAAATTGGAGAAGTAATATTTAGTATGTGTTTTCAGCTAAACTTATTAGTGGATTGTGGAATATTATTTTCACTGCTATATTTTTGAAGTTGAGTGTTTATTACTACATGCATCTTTAATAATTTATCCTTTTGCCCAATGCCCTGAATGTTTCTCTTAAACAACTACAGTAGTAACCAAGTTTCCATTTTTGTTGACAGTTGATTTCTGAAGGACAATCATACTATTCTGTGAAAAGGTGGATGGATTCATATTACCCATACCATAGGAATCAAGTGATGTCTGCCCCATATTATTGTCCAAGCGGTCAAATTGGCAGGCCTCATTTGAAAGTGGACCCAATGGTGCCTTGTGAATTTTGGCCGTTTCAGTTTGGTGGCAATCAAGGCGGCGGCTATGCATATCCAGTTCCAGAATTCCATGGCTGCCATTATCAACCTCCTCAACCAAGCTGCTGTGCTTTCAGACCTCCTTATCCTTATGCTGCTCCACCTCATCATTGTCATGGCATATATTCTGCCTATCCCGGATCGTATCCTGTTCATTATGTACCTCCTCCCCCATATTTTTCAACAGACCAGCCACGTTATGAATTTGAAAAGAATTTCCCCACCACAGAACATCATCATTGTTGTGGCTGCCCAAACCATTCTTGTAAGCAGAGTGACAGTGACAAGAAGAGTGTGAAAATTGTGGAACATGATGAGGAGGACATTGATAGGAAAAACGCTCCCCAGAATCATCCTTATCCACTTGTTTTGCTTCCATATGGTGGTGACACGAGGAGAGAGCACACAAAACCTTACAATGAGGAGAGGGAGGAAGCTTATCAGGCCAAGCCTTCTCGTGATTTGGAATCATCTGAACAACCAAAAAATTTGAGGAATGGTTGGCCACCTTTGAACGTGAAGAGGTCTGAAGGAATGAAGAAAGGGGAAGACTTGCAAACAAACAGTGTACAGAAACAAGATGATAACAGCATGTCCTTTCCATTTCCAATATTCTGGATGCCTTACCAACCAGAAAACACTGGAAAGGTGGAAAGCCAAGAAAGTGGTTTTGGTCAAAATCCTCCTGATCAGAAATTGGCTTCCCACATCGAGTCCATGCACAAGGATGAAGATGATGATAAGACCAACAAATCTATGCAAAATGAGGTTACTGGAAATAATGTAAAGAAGATCATTCCAGTAAAGCAATTGGAAGAGAATGACATGAAGAAGGGGACTTCAGAAGAAAATGGTGCTAAAAAATTATCTTCTCCCAAAAAGCCATCTAAGCTAGCTCCTGTTTGTCTAAGGGTTGATCCCTTGCCAAGGAAAAAAGGCAGTTCAAGATCTCCTAGTCCTCCAGGTGGCAAAGGCAAATCACAGGATATGCCAAAGGACAAACCTCCTGTCTCATTGAATGGGGAGATCAGTGAAAGAAAATGCCCAGTAACTAGTGGACTTCCAGACAGGGCTAGTGAGGTGGAGGAAAGAAAGTGCAGGACAAAAACAACAAAGGATTCAACCCAAGGGGATGGACAGAAAGATTTGAATGTTGGTTGCACTAATTCTACAAGCCCAAGTGATAACCAAATAGGGAATGGTGGAGTTGAAGCTCCTTTTGAGCCAGAAAAGAAATGTCCAGGGGAAAGTACTCAATCACAATGTGATAACACAGAAGGAGAAGGTCAGATAAAAAAACAATTGTCAGAAGATGAGGCGGCTGCAGTGATCCAGTCTGCATATCGTGCTTATGAGGTGCGCAAATGGGAGCCTCTGAAGAAATTAAAGCAAATAGCCAGTGTGGGAGAAAAAATGGCTGAGATAAGAGGTAATATTCAGGCTTTGGAGCATTCTCCAGACAAGCTGGTTGATAACAAGCAGAAAAATGTAATTTCAGAGACAATAATGAGCCTTCTGCTGAAGCTTGATACAATTCAGGTATAAAAACTGAGTGCACAATGAACTATTTTTACATTTTTTTTTTTTTTGGTTTTTTTGCTGCAAATTGAACCTTTCATGCCTGTTTGAAGATTTTCAGTATCATTCAATTATTTACTTTTTTAACAGTAATAGGTTTAATCCTTCCAAGGATTTTGAAATGCTGAGTTTTTAGAATTGCTATAGTCACTATTTCCTCTTCATTAGTTTGTTATGGTGAATTAAGTGTTTATTCATGGCACAGAGTTACTGATTTGCCTCTGATCTCTTGTGTAGGGTTTGCACCCAACTGTCAGGGACATTCGGAAATCAGTGGCTAGAGAGCTTGTTGGTCTGCAGGAGAAGCTGGATTCTATTCCTGATAGTAGCCCACAGGTAGTAACTGATAAACATACTGAGGATACTATGAGGATACATCAAGATGGGAATGTTACAGTCGCACAAAGTCATCATGACACCAACATAATGGAGCAATGTGAAGAACAACCTCTGCCAGTGGAAAATTCACAAAGTATGGTGGTGAACGGGCAAGGCGGGGATAATGAACAGATTGATGAGATATTTGGTGAGAGTCAACCAACATCCAAGGAATTGGAAGTGAGAGAGATATCGGAGCATGAACAGTGCCTTTCATCTCCACATAGGCAAACAAAAGAGCTGACTTACTGTGATGTGGAGGAGATGGATGGGGATGTCAAGGATCTGGTAGATTTATCCCAAGAAGAGCATAATGCTCAAGAGTCTAGTTTGCCCAAACAGATGGACCATGATGTAAAGGAACTGGCAGAGGTTAATACAGAACTATCAGAAGAGATAATTACCAGTTGTGAAGATCAGCAGGTGACACAAACACCACCTTGTGCGGTTGATGAAGAATCAGAATCCGAATCTCTAGAGTCTGCACAGACAGCAACTACAGGGAATACCAGAATGCCACAAGATGAAGCAAGCAGAGGCCTTGAAACAGAACCCTTGATAAAAGAAAGTATAGATATGGCAGAGCAGTTACTCCCTGTCAATTCAAATATGGGATGTGAGGAAAAAGAGGTGCAGGAACCTAAACCCTATGGAATCACTGCCGAAGCACAAGTTGAAAATGTGGGAGTCCTGAATGAGGTTGCAGAGTTACTGGAGCTTAATGATAATGGTAGAATTGAGGAACATAAAGAGATACATGGGAGTGTCAAAGGAGAGATAGATGAAGATGAGTTCTCTTCAACACTGCAACAAGAAGTGATAATGGAGAGTGATGGGAGCACCACAAAAGTAAACGAGGCAGAGGAACTAGTTGAAGTGCCAGTGCAGAAAAGTAAGGGTGCAGTTGACGAAGACCATGAAAGTATTGATCCGAAGCCTAGAGAATTGGAATTGGAATTGGAAGGGGAAGCGGATGATCGAAAGCTGGAGGAGGAGGAGAATGTTGCAGAATCAGGCAGCAGAGAAGCCAAAGAAACTGTGAATGCAATTGGTGAAGTTGAAAATATTGATTGGTCAATGTGTTCGGAAGCAAATGGGCAGGAGGAGATTGTACCAATGTCGCCTACTGGCAGCCAGATTTCCATTCAAAGTGAAGATAATGGGAGAAAAGTAATTGAGGAAAATGAAAAGCTAAGGAAGTTGTTGGAGAAAATGATTGAATCCGGAAAAGAGCAGCTGACAACCATATCTACTCTCTCTGGCAGAGTCAAGCAACTTGAGAGGAAATTGTCCAGGAGAAAGAAACTGAAGATGCGACAATGTAGAGCAGCACACGTGAAAAATGATGTCTTTGAAGTTATGTAAAGAGAGAAATCTGGTGTATGAATGAATTATAAATAAATAGTTTCAGGCTTTTCTGTATTGTATGCAGTCCTTGTGTGAATTAAATAAATAATCCTTTTTTTTTAAATGAAAATTAAAATTAATGAGGTGTGATTTGTTTAGTTTCTTTGACTTTCTTACCTGCTGAAGCAAGCGGATGAAGAAAGAAGCAAAGGCAGGTTCTGATATCCTCTTTTATGTTTTAAGACAATATATTCTTGTGTTTACTTCTAATGCAACATGTCTTAAATTTTTCATAGAAATTTAATAACTTATTAAAAAATAGAATATAGCCGATTTCTTATTAAAATTTAAACTCAAATATTTAGAAAGTTAAGCTAGTGGTGTATAATTAATTATAAATAAAAATGTTTGACTTTCTTTGTGATGGTTCATGTAGGCTTGGGTCTTTCATTCGGGCCTTCTTGAAGATGGGAACCCTGGCAGTAGAAAGTTTTGCCATTAATCAGCGTTGGATATATATATATATATATATACTCCGTATATATCACGTATTTAAGATCACATTCACACTTACAACTTGTCATGAAATATTAACGGAATAACGAATTTAACGACTGCGCTCAACGGTTTAAAGGCTACTTTAATTAGGCCGGCCGGCCTTTCTTTCTTGTGCTACAGTGCTACTCTTCCGCATTCCCCGCTTATTGCAGACCAAAGAGCGCAGCGTTTCCACATTTCACTTTCTTCGCTCGCCTAGTCGCCTACTCCAATCCCTCAGAAGTCACAAAGGTCCCATCTTCCGTTTCTTGATGAATTTCTACTTGTTTTTTTATAAATATAATAATTAGTAGATAGAGATGGTTCCTTTCATTTCTTGTTGAATTCAATCTCATCCAAAAGATTTAATGCGTATAATTTGACACACAGAGTGAAAGAAAGAGAGATGAGGATGGAGGAGGAGACTCACATTCTGGAGATTCACTTGATCTCTGCTCAAGGTCTGAAGGCGCCAAGCGCTAACCTCCGCCGAATGCAAACATACGCTCTCGCCTGGGTCGACTCCTCCGCCAAGCTCAGAACAGGGGTGGACCGATTTGGCGGAGAAAACCCCACCTGGAACGACAAATTCCTCTTCCGAATCTCACCGGACTTCATCTCAAGTGAAACCTCCGGCGTCACCTTCGAGCTCTACGCCGTCGCCTGCATCAAGGATGTTCTCGTCGGCTCCGTCCGTTTCCTACTCAGCAGCTGCCCCACTGCAGTCAAGGCATCCGCCGAAACTCCGGCCTTCATAGCCGCCCAGATACAACGCCCTTCTGGAAGATTCCACGGCGTCCTCAACATCGGCGCCGCTGTCTACAAAGCTACCAAGTTGGATCGTGCAATGATGAACGGAGTGTCCGCAACTTCTTTCCGCGACATGATGGAAAAGAAGGAAAACCTCCTCCGCCGTCACCGACGCCTGAGCGACATCGGATCCAAGCGAAGCATCCATATCCATAGATCATCCAGTTCTTCTTCTTCTTCTTCATCTTCCAATTCCTCCATCATTAGCTCCTCAGCGGCAGTGGACAAAGATGAGGGAAAGAAAGAGGTGGGATCAGACGGTGGGGGAGGAGGCTTGCTGTGTGGACTAGTGATGCAGAGAAGATTCAGTTTCTGTCCATTGGATCAGAACATGATGCGGATTGCGGAATGGGCCGAGTCTCTGGAGAAGAAGAAGAAGAAGAAGAATCATCAGCAATGAGCTATATCGGCCCAATTTCAGTTCACTGTAAATTTGCCATAGCCCAATGGCCCAAATTGCTAACTGAGCGGATTATAGCATGCAGATCGAGTTGAACTCTACATACTTTTGTTTGTTTAAGCTGTGTTCTATTGCCTTTTTAGTTGCATTATTATATTGAGAAATTAATTAATTAGGATTAGGATTAGCGGTGTGTTTAATGCATAATAATTAAGCACAGCTGCTACTGAGAAAGGCAAAGTGATTTGAGTGGACAATAATTAAAATCCATCAAATCAACACAAAATGGAGAAGGCGGCTAGGCATGGCAATTGGCAAAACAAACAAATTAATAAAGATGGATAGATATATCGGAGATAATTACAGTAGTATATAGTGATGAAGCAATCATATCTGGGAAAGACCCCGCATATCACAACCACCAAATACTCGATCTCATCCGTCTCAATCGCACATATATATATATATATATATATATATATATATATATATATATATATATATATATATGCTTAATAATAATCACTACTCTACTTTAATTTGCTTATACCTGCCCTTCCCTGCCCTTAGCTTACTATACACTTCCACCCACCACTTATAATTCTTCATTATTATATACATGCATATGCGTGTATATATAATTGTATTTTCACAATACTACATGTCATTCATATTATATTGTGTATGTTGTGCTTACGATTTTGAATCTGTATAAATTAAATTATATTTATGATGACATAATACATGTAATTTATGAATGGCCTAGGAGCGCATACATGGCAGGTGCCGTTGGTAGCTAGCACATGCTGCAGGCAGCACAAAGTGAGAAGTGAGTCAGGAGGAGTCGGCCAAAAAAAAAAACAAAAAAGTTGGGTGGCAAGAGGGTAACCAGGCCAACTTTACATTTGTATACTATACTATAGTGGCCTCCCCACTTGTCACATTGCTTCAATTGTGTGCTTTTCACTCTTTTTCCTTTGCTTGCATTGCTTACAATGCAACTAACACAATGCACCCTTTTTTGTTTCTTTTTCCACCCAATTAAAGTCAATGCCACTTCCATGGATCCAATACCCCTCCACCTCCATTCCATTTCCATTATATATATATATATATATATATATATATATATATATATATATATATATTTTATATCTTCAATTTAATTCTCACCCTCTCATTTTATTTAATTAATTAATTACCAAATGAAAACAATAAAATAAACAAAATATTACGTATTCAAATGTACAACAATAGTTTTTTTTTTTTTTAATGCTACTGGCTCTATTACATTGTAGTATCTGTACAACAATAGCTTAATTAACTATAAGTTTTGTGTTCGATCGAGTTTTGAAATAATACATCTACTTAAAAACTTATGAGGGGGTGTTTTGTCATCATCATAATTTCAATATGTAAGAGCCTTGTGTACCCCAACTGGTCGGAAAAAAAAACGTGTCTTCCTAACCAAAAAAAAAAAAAAAAAAAACAAAAAACAAAAAAAAAAATAAAATAAATAAATAAAAAATAAAAAAACCAACAATAATCCCTTGATGCATGCATGATATACTAACATCACAAGTGCATGCATGATATGCTTTTTCAGGCTACCACAACAAAAGGCGTGCTGTAAGCCAGTAAGTCTATAACATGCATTTTTCACTGCTTAGCTTTTATTTTAATTTTCATAGTCATAATTGTTAATTATATATCCCAATAAAAAACCAAAATTCTTTTTTTTTTCTTTAAAGACCTTATCATATGTAAGATTCATAATAAATAAATAAATAAATATATATATATATATATATATATATATATATTTCGATTTCTTTATCAGAATTATAATCTTAATATTCTTATATATATATATATATATATATATATATATATATATATATAATTGCGAATTTAAATCGTAAACTTTGTGCTTTTATATATACCCCGTTCAAGCTAAGGTAGGTATTAATCATATTGAATCTGATTGATTGGATGCATTTTATTCATGCATGCATGCATCTTAGTTGATTTATTATGTTTACATAGCAACTACAAGCATGTAAAGTAATTAAAGGCACAGAATAAAGTGGACATCAATTCTAGACTGTCAAATGAAAGATTGAAACATAAAATACTTTGTTAAAGATATGATTTGGCTTTTGGAGCTATTATAATGCACCAATAAAAAAAAGTTAATAATAATAATTACAATCAATAATAATTATAATTAAATACAATTAAATACTAATATAATTTCACAATGTGACAACCAAAAGCCTTACCACTTTAGCAGTTTTAGTCTTAGTTGTAATTATTACTCCGTATAAATTTGTTTAGGTTCAACTGTTACCAACACAATAAATGTTAGCTTATGAAGCATTGTTTCCTGTTATAAATCTAATATAAAATCTGTTGATTAATTGATGACTTTGTAAGTTGCTTTGATACCATTGACACTTTGTGAGTTGCTCCTCTAATATCATTGAAATTGTTATAAATTCTTATTTATGGACATTATTATGACATTGATTACTTGATTTGTAACTGTTGTAACAGTCAATTTGTATAGATTATATATATATATATATATATATATATATGATATATAAGGATATAATGAGATAAGATTCTCCCTTCTATCTATTTTTCTTTTAACAGAAATGATTTATTTTGACGGTATCATCATAATAACAAATCATAAGTAAGAGATCAATTTACCCATGCATAATGAATGCCTATAATTAAGGATTTAAAAAAAAAAAAAAAAAAAAAAAAACTAAAGACTTGTATATATTTTTTTTCATATGTATTAACACCTTTTTTTTAGCACCTCTTATTATTTACTATTTAGATATACTGCAGATAGGAAAATAAAATAAAATAACAACCCGTTAAACTTTAACTGTGAAATCAAATTTTATGAGAAATGGTTAGCATATTAACTCATGTTAAGGATGATCATGTTGGATTTAGAATAATTTTCTTTTGTCCAATAAATAATAAGATCTAATCCAGATATTGGAATTGAGTTGACTTGAAAATTAAAGATAGAAACCAACAAATCAACTAGTAAATCTTTTGTCAAGCATCTTGTGCTCAAATGGCACTCGTGTTGGACTACCATTTGAGAGGTTGTGAGTTTGAGCCTCAATGGAGGCGTTATTGGCTATATATATATATATATATATATATATATATATATATATATATATATATATATATATATATATATATGCGGAAAATGAATTACCCGCTTATTTTTAAAAAAATCAATTTTGATTTTTTTTTTCTCCCCTCCCACATTATTCTCTTTCATACTTATTCTTACATTCTCCTCCTAATACCCCCATCAGGGTTCAGTATTCTACAGAGACATGTGTGCCTTCAATAGAGGATCCACCGCCTTGAGGTAACAATGATGTTCTAGTCTATTCAATAATCATACAACGAGAATATATTGTCAGAGTATAATGAAGTTAGATTTCTGGTCAAGAATATTGAATAGACGTATTGACCAGGTTGATGAGTTTGACCATGACCTTTACCTGGTTCAGAGCAAGTGTTGTGTGGAAGGAATGTTGCATGATATTTGTAACGGAAATGTTCATTATAATATATATAAATATATTCATTGTCAACTATGTAGTTTTGACATAATACTAGGTGGCATGACTTACGATTTATTAAATATTACTCGTTGTTAGTTTGACTATGAACATAGAAAGTCACCCCTTAATGGTTCGTGGTAATGCCGAGAACTTTTAATTGGATGGTTTTGGATTTGCATCTGTCAAAGACTCGAAGCACGCTTCGAATGGTAAAATATTCTAACTCCTGCTTTAAACGTAGAATTTAGAAAAAGTGATTGATACTTTTGCTGCGTGTGTATGATTTTTCTAACATACACAATGTAAGCCCCCATCATAAACAATATTAAGTTTCTTACAACACATATCTCCGTTTGATACACACTACAAATAACAATGGGATTGCATTCTACCTCTACACAACGTTTGGATATAGTTATTATTATTTTGTTTTATAAATCTATAATATTTTGCTTCACCAAGGTTCTTTACACTTATTTTGCTTTTACTTTTTATTTCTAATTATATATAGAGAAAAAAGAAGTATTTGGAAATATTTAAGCAAATTAGAAAAGGAAAAAAGGATAGACCACTGACCACTCACAATGACATTAATATCCATTGTCCATCAAGTTCCTTGTTGACAGTGGCCTCCTCAGCTCCTCTCCCCCCAGCCCTATATCTAACAAGTAACAAAGCCGCCTCTGTTTCATTCCTCCGCCTGTCATTTTAGCTACAGAAATCACCTAAGAAGACAAGCCCAGAACACCCTTCCTACTCGGGGACCCCTACCCTTTGGCTTCTTCTATATCTTCATACACAAATCTATACTTTCATCAATTATGCACATTCGCCATCTTTTGATGATTGATATGTAATACCCATCTTGTATTTTGGATAAAACACTAGCCATTCATAATTCTCTCATAATAATTTCACCAGTCTGGAGGTCTTGGGAATTGGCTCAGCAATAAAGGTACGATTTTTATTTGATTCCGCCATGGATGATTTGTTGCTCTTTTTTGTGTGTGTTGTGCTTTCTTTCTAATATGGTTTTCTGGTAATTTCAAGATCTGCTTGCCTGACAATTCCTTTTAGGTGATTAATAGGCAACATATGAGTTTTACTGATCTATATACTTTCGATGGAGTGCAGTATATGATCTATTTTTAGCTGCGAAAGTGGTGGGCTTTTTAGATTAATCAATACGAGTGAGATAGAGTGCAAATTTTACTAAAAGAATTGCTGCTATTTTGTTTATTACAGCATATGATAGCCCTTTAGATGCATTTATCATATATATATGGTCAGAAACAAGCAGTTTGCGTTTTTCTTTTTTGCTCTTTTCTTTCTGCTATGCTTGGAATCCAGAAATGGGATTTTTTTTTGGGTGAGGTGGGGGGAGTCAGGCACAATTCTGCAATTGAGTCTGTAAAGATGGTCAAAGACCTTTTTTTTAATGGCATTAACCTTTCTACACATTTAATTGAAGTTTTCAGCTCTCTTTTTGAGTTTGAAGATGTTTAATTCTTGGTAGCATTCAAAACATATGTGCTGTTAAGAAACTAGTTATATAGCATCAAAATGTCTGTGGGGGTTGTGCTTTGGTGTATGGCTGAACTGATGTGCACTATCTCTGTATTCCTATTGTAAGGACTCCTGTTGGGCTTATATTCCAATGGCACCAAGAACTTCCTTTGTTTTTTTTTTCCTTTAAATTTAGCAAAGTTGTAACAATACTGCCAATACATATCATTTAAGGTTTACATTTTCTAATTGTTTTGATCTGCTGGCTTATCTCATGATTATAAGATAGCTATTTAATCCAATGGATCTTTTCTTTTTTTTTTTTAATAAAATATATCAGTGGTTGATGCAAAGACTTTTTTTGTTTCCCCATTACTTTTCTTGTGTATAGGATTTTGTTCATCTTTTTCATTATGGAAGGAGAAACATCATGGGTCAGTCATTGCTTTGATGACATTGCAAGAGATAATATTGAGTTTGATTCATCCTCAGAGCTTAATGATGAAAGCAATAGAGGCGTTACCCCAGTTCTTGTTGATTTAATATTGCCTGATGATCTGTTGGAACGGATTCTTGCCTGCCTGCCCATTGCCAGCATTTTTAGGGCAGGTTGTGTCTGTAAAAGATGGCATGAGATAGTGAATTCAAAGCGATTTCTATGGAATTTCTCACAGATCCCACCACAAAAACCTTGGTATTTTATGTTCACAAGCTCAGATGAGCCAATTGGTTATGCCTATGATTCCATCCTTAGAAAGTGGTACAATTTCGAACTCCCATGTATTGAAACTTCCAATTGCTTCATTGCTTCATCTTGTGGATTAGTTTGCTTTATGGACAACGATAGTAGAAGCCAGCTGTGTGTTTGCAACCCTATAACCAAATGCTCCAAGAAGCTTGAGGAGCCTCCAGGTCTTAAGTTTTCTGACTACAGCGCATTGGCAATCTCAGTTGAGAGGAAACCTCGCAGACACACTGTGACTTACAGTGTCACAATTGTCAAGTCTAAACAAGTTCCAGGGAACTTCTTTCAGTGGGATCTCTCCATCCACATATATGACTCAGAAACAACGGTGTGGGTAACCCCATTCACGGAGACGTTAGAAGGATGGAGAGGCGGGGATGAGAGCGTAATATGTGATGGTGTTTTGTACTTCTTGATCTACTCTACTGGAGGTGGCCCTCCATACAATCGTCATGGCTTAGTGACTTATAATCTCATGAGCAGATCAACCCATGGTTTACTAATGAGGAGTTTCATTCCAGTGCCATGTTCCCTTACTTGTGGTCGATTGATGAACCTGAAGGAGAGGTTAATAATGGTGGGAGGGATTGGGAAACCAGACCGGCCTGATATTATAAAAGGGATTGGGATATGGGGTCTGAATGGGAAGGAGTGGCAAGAGATTGCACGCATGCCACACAAGTACTTCCAAGGCTTTGGTGAGTTTGATGATGTTTTTGCTAGCAGTGGCAGTGATGACCTGGTATATATCCAGAGTTACGGAGCCCCAGCTCTTCTTGTTTTCGATGTGAACCAGAAACAATGGAGGTGGTCAGTGAAATGCCCCGTGTCAAAGAGGTTTCCTCTTCAGCTCTTTACTGGCTTCTGCTTTGAATCAAGGCTTGAAGTCACGCCCTAACTTGATGATGTGATGGACTGAGGTGTATCGTAATGTCTTGATTTTGCAATCCTTTATATATTTTTATCCAAGGAGTTTTGGAAAAGTTTACATATGTGGTCTGTACCGGGGGATGACTGTCTATTTATGAAAATGGGAATCTGATTATTATTATTATTATTATTATTATTGATTTTGATGTGATATGGATTATGGTAGTATGTTAGTAAGTTAGCATAGGAGGTTTGATTGTGGGTCTGTTTCAAATTCTGGGTATGTTGAAAAGGATAAGCTATAGAAATGTGGTATCTCTCTCTCTCTCTCTCTCTCTCTCTCAAAACTGAGAGATGAGGAGTAGGAGGCACATGTGGTGTGTTGTTACAACATCCTCTGCATCTGCCCACTGGAATTGGGCAAAACATGATTGATTGGTTTTGAGGAGGGGTGTTTGATGCAGGGACCACAAATTGGTCCCTCCACCCTAATCTTCAATAGTATATGCAGTTTGGGATGGGATGGGTGGGGACTGCAACTTGAGTTATTGGCAATTGGCAATTCAGTTCCCATTGGATAGATAGTTGACGGAACTTAGCAGTAGTCAGTCACACTCACACTTAGCCTGTAAGGTGGTATGCATGTTATTGTTAGGTGAGAGAAGAAGTGGATTATTGTATTTGTGTGTTTGAAGGGTTGAATTGAGTTTGAGTAGGCAGGCCAGGCCAATCAGATAACTGCACATTGGGCCGACATGAATTTGTTTATTATGTTGTTTCTATCATCGTTATTATATTCAATTGAGTTGAATGATCAATCCTTCTTGTTTTTGGCGTATGTGTGTATTTTATTTAATTAAAGAAAAAAGATTGGGTTGTGCAGTTGTGTTTCTACGGTCGTCATTTTCCATTTAGCCGGCCCCCTTAACCGTAACCAACGTAAACCAATTTAATTTACAGAGGCCGAGGGGGAGGCAACTGGCAAGGCCCGATTGATGGCCATGGCACTATGGCAGAGGCAAATTGCCAATTCATTCCTAGGTAGGCAGAGGCAAGAATGTCAAGCAGCGCTATTCCATTTTCTATCATTTATGGTTGGTAGTACTAGTACACTTATGGACATGTTCTTGCTACACATCCTTGATTCATTGATACAACTCTAAGGCTGTGTCATATCCAGGGTTGTAAAATTCGGTCTAGGCGCCCGCCTAGGCCCTAGGCGCCTCAAGACCATGGCGATTTCCCCCTTAGGCGCCCGCCTAGCGCCTAACTCGGCCAATTTGGCTGCCTAGTGTCTAAGTTAGTCGAGTTAACTCGTCCATTTTGGTCGAGTTAATCTGATCGGGTCGGCCTATTTTATTATTATATATGTGTGTGTGTGCGCGCGCGCACATACATATATATAATATGACATATATACACTCGTAAACTAGTTTTATACTTTGAATCTTTGGATGATTGAAGTATTTGAGTATTTCATGAGTATTTTCAATTTTTAATATTGTTTTAATGTTTTTTTTTTTAAATCATTGTTTTGATGTTATGACTTATGAATTATCATTAATTCATTTATTTGGATGTGTTATTTGATTAAATGTTGAAAACAATCTCATTAAAATTGTCAAACTGCAAGTCTACCACTATTTTTTTGGCGCCCGCCTAGCGCCGCCTAGACACCGCCTAGGCACTAGGCGCTGTCCAGGCGCCCGACTAGCGCCTAACGCTTACTGCAACCATGGTCATATAATAATACTTGAGGAAGAAACAAACGTAACAATGCTTCAAGTGATGCTCAAACTACAAAATGAAAGAAAGAAACAAGTGATCATCAAGTTGAAAGGGAAAAACTTACTGGCCCTGTTTGGTAAAATGGCTGTTAGTTGATAGCTGTTAGCTGTTAGCTGATTCTGTTAATTAGAGTGTATAAATAGTTGATAATATTAGCTGATTGTAGAAAAATGTTTGGTAAATTAGCTGTTAGCTGATAGCTGTTTGGTGTAATTTATTTTCTCAAAAAGCTAATTGAAAAAGTTGCTTGGTGTAGCCTTTTGAATTTTAGCCTTTTGGAGTTGCAAAAAGCTAATTAACCAAACATTTATATTGATATTTTAACTAAATCAAACAATTAATAGTGGTCAAATAAGTTAAAATTGGCCTATAGGCCAATTTTTTACCAAACAGGGCCAATATATTATTCACTTTACTACTTTCATGTCTAAGTAAGTATTTATACATTAACATTGACAACTAACCTAAATCATTCATTATCTCCTGATTATTTCAATATTATAATACTCCGTAACATTTAAGTATGGTAGGGTATGAGATTTGAGGTTTCTCTTTTCAGTCTCTAATAGTGAGTTAGATCTAAGTGAGTCAGTCATGTATATTATATTTCACTAAACATGAAGCAATCTAATTTAATAATTACACATTAGTGAGTATGTTTGGAAAAACTAGCTGAAAGTTGAAGAGTAGCTAAAAAGCTATAAGCTAGAAAATGAAAACTGAAGATCTGTTAAACTAAGTGATTATGTTTAAAAGTGTTTGGTAAAACTAGCTTTTTGATAAACTGATAAATATAAAAAGACTAAAAAAGACATCTTCATAAAATTTAAATAAGTTAAAATTTAACATTTTAAAATAAAACTATTAGCATAATTATGATGTAGTATCTCATAATAAAGTATCAATATTGTTGTGAATCTTCTTCATCTCAATATAGGTCCGACTTAAATTTTCGTTGATGAAAATATTATCACTTCAATATTGAAGTTCATCGGGCGGTATGTAATCTGAATGCTGCTCAAGCACGTTAAACATCATGTCATCTTGCGAATTCTTTTGAATATAATTATGTAGTACAAATGTGGCCATAATAACATCAATTTGGGTCTCACAGTAAATTGTGGCATTTTAACAAATATCTTCCATCTCTTCTTCAATACTCAAAACGACCTCTCAATACAATTTCGAAGAGAAAAATGTGGGAAGCATATATATATATATATATATATATATATATATATATATATATATATATATATATATAGAGAGAGAGAGAGAGAGAGAGAGAGAGAGAGATTTATAGAATCTTATAAAATATTATAAAACTCATATGATTTTATAGAATTTCAAGGAGAAGTTTAGATATATAATTACAGTCGTACTATCAAATAGATCTTTGCCGTCCGTTGAGGGAGTGGAATAAGCCTAAATAATCTCATGGAATTCATTTTGTAACAATCTAACCAGTTGTTCAAATGAAGATGAAGGAGGATACTTGGTCGCGAGGATTAATAAAGAAAAAAAGAGAAAGAAAAATGTCAAAAGAGATTTAATTGGGATGAATAAAGGATGTCATTAATTTAAAATTATAATGGTAATAATGAAAAAAATGTTCAGAAACTAAACGGTATTTAAAGTATTGATTTAAAATAAATTAAACTACTGATTTATTTGTAAAACATTACCAAACTTATTAATAAATTAAAATAACCTATAAGCTTAATTGTCAACGGTATGGAAACTTTTTATATTTGTGCCAAGTGAGAAATGAGTACACATTATAATATGAGCCAATTGTTATATTATACAAAGATTTGCCATTATTCCAATCAAAGGCTCCAATTTGCAATTGGAAGGTTAATTCACAAAAAGTAAAGTAAATAAAACGTGTTTGAAGTGTCGAAACCAAAAGGAAATAAGCTAACAGGAGTAACAGCGGTCAAGACTACGAGGAGTTCATTTTTGAAAATTGATAAATGAACTTTAACGTTTGCGTAATCATAGACTCGTGTTTGTTCAAGTCGTCTTCAATTTCTGCTCAATTTTCTCCATTTCATTAAGCGGGCAGGTGAGGAAATTTTGGTACTACTCTAGCAGTACTCACACTCTAACAGTAGAAGCAGCAAAGGCTAGGGTTTTTGAGGGAGGGACGGTACTATGAAGGACCAGATTTTGGACCTCTTCGACCCGAGAACGGCGGTTATGGACCCGGATTACTCTCCCACGTCCGCTCCTCCGCACCCGGATTTTGGATTCGCTTTCAACGATAGCAATTTCTCCGACCGCCTCCTCCGGATCGAGGTCGTTGCAGACTCCTCCGATGCCTGCTCGGATTCTGATGCATCGCAGACTCTCGCCGATTGGACTCGCCATCGCAAGCAACGCGGAGGAGGTGACTTTAAGGAAAATGGTTTGTCCCCCCTGGTTTCTGTTTGCGCCTGTACATATTTTTGTTTCCTGTGTAACTCTCTCTTACGAGTGAATAAGCTAATTGAGCTGCTACGGATTTCCAAGTTTGGAGTTTCCAGTACCTATTTCCAGCTTTCATCTCAGTTCAGAGAGACTGAGCCCACTTCCTATTATGCCATCATGTTTACCTATAAAACATTAGTTGCTAAATCCATTTTCTATGCTTTTAGAGTTTCTTAGCCTGTTTGAAGCCGTGTAACATACTGCTTGTGCTCATTTGTCTTATAGATTCTTCATTTGTGGTATATACCTCATCACACATCAAAGCTAATTATTAATTTCATATGCATAATTCCTTTGCTTGACATGCTGTTCCTATTGCTCTCTCTTATGCTGCTATGGGTTTTCTGGCGATAACCAGACACGTGCCACTCATTTTCAGCTCTCGACATTTCTACATACCAAGAGGAGCAAATTGTTAACTGCAACCCGATTGACACCGAAGATGCTGATAATGGAAACCAAGATGAGGCAGTGGTGGCTATGATTGAAGAAGCACAATCTGGTACTTTGTAGTTTGTTCAGTGAATGTCTGTGCATAGTCTATAATAAAAGGAAAAAAAAATGTTAGCATTATATAAACTGATAAAAGTTACAACTTATTCTAAAGATTATTGTTAATCAACTAGGTTTTAGAATAGCAAGAATGCAATTTATGAGCTTGCAAACAAAGTGATTATGAAATGGAGTCGGCAATTGTGACAGTATCTTATTTCTGTTGTATATTAGTTGTTCCTGTTTTAGTGCTTTATCATGTGGCTGGGTTATATGAAACATTATCCATGCTGCCAGTCACATTCTAATTTACTATGATTATCCAGCTATATATGATTTCCTATTGTGCTCCATAGGAGATGAAGCTGCTAACAGTGAGGATTCGAATTGGAATATAGATTCTTCTTCTAAGGTTGTAAAAGTGAAAACATTACATATCAGCTCTCCCATTTTGGCAGCAAAAAGTCCATTCTTCTATAAGGTAAAATGACTTTTAGTTTGTAAATTGCTAGCTTACTCAAGTACCCATAGAAGTTTTAAAAACTTAAATCAATAAATAAATAATTAAGCGGGAAAAATTGTAGTGCTTTGTATACATAGACTGGAATGCAGTAGAGATTCATTTATGATCTTCTGTTCTCTTAAAACTTGTGTAGCTTTTCTCAAATGGGATGCGGGAGTCGGAGCAGAGACAAGTAACCTTACAAATTCATGCTTCTGGTATGTTCTAGCATATAGTAACTTCTTACATGATACAATAATTGATTTGAAGCTATGTTGGAGTACTTCTGAGTTATTTGATCATGGAATTCCCTTTTCTTGTGGTCTCTGAGTTATTTGGGTTCTAATGCGTCAAATGGTTATTGTTAATGATTGTTTGATTACGGTATAGATTTCTAACCTTTTAGCATGCAATCATTTTCCTATTGTTATTCCTTTGGACAGAGGAAGCTGCCCTTATGGAGCTCCTAAATTTCATGTATAGCAATACATTGACTTCAACTACAGCACCTGCTTTGTTGGATGTGCTCATGGCTGCTGACAAATTTGAGGTTGCTTCGTGCATGAGGTATTGCAGCCGCCAATTATGTAATTTGACAATGACTCCAGAGTCTGCTTTGGTTTATTTAGAGCTTCCTTCAAGTGTCCTAATGGCTGAGGCAGTTAAGCCGTTAACTGATGCAGCAAAACAATTCCTTGCTGCCAATTACAAAGATGTCTCCAAGTAAGTTTCATTTCATTACTTACCACCTCCTTTCTAATGCTTGCTTTGAGTTTTTTTTTTTTTTTTTTTGATGTGTGTGTGTGTGTGTATGTGCATGAATCATGAGATTTTTTAAAAATTCATTTCCAGTTATCTTTTAGTTACCTCTGTTTTAGCAATAACATTTTATTACCGCCATTGCTACTTTTAAGAGCTGATGTAAATTGATAGGTATCAAGAGGAGGTTATGAACTTACCTCTTGCTGGAATTGAAGCAGTTCTATCCAGTGATGACCTCCTAGTAGCGTCTGAGGATGCAGTGTATGACCTTGTGCTGAAGTGGACAAGGACCCATTATGCAAAGTTGGAAGAGCGACGTGAGATTCTTAGTTCTCATCTCGGTCGCTACATCCGTTTTCCTCAGATGAGCTGCCGAAAGCTTCGTAAGGTTCAGACTTGTATTGATTTTGATCCTGAGTTTGTTTCCAAACATGTATTAGAGGCTCTTTTTTTCAAGGCGGAGTCCTCCCATCGTCAGCGAATCCAAGCTGCAGATGATTCTTCTTCTGGTAGTCACCGTTTTGTTGAGCGTGTGTACAAGTACCGGCCTATCAAAGTGATTGAGTTCGAGCATCCACGGCAACAATGTGTAGTGTACTTAGATCTTAAGCGGGAAGAGTGCAGTAATTTATTTCCATCTGGGAGAGTATATTCTCAAGCATTTCACCTGGGAGGGCAAGGGTTTTTTCTGTCAGCACATTGCAACATGGATCAACAGAACATTTTCTACTGTTTTGGTCTGTTTCTGGGAATGCAGGAAAAGGGGTTGGTGTCATTCGCAGTGGACTATGAGTTTGCAGCAAGATCAAAACCAACGGAGGAATTTGTTAGCAAATACAAAGGAAATTACACCTTCACTGGGGGAAAGGCAGTTGGTTATCGCAATTTATTTGGCATAGGATGGACTTCTTTCATGGCAGATGACAGTCCCTACTTCATCAATGGCATTCTCCATCTTAGGGCGGAGCTTACAATCAAGCACTAACATTCCCTTGCTTCTGTTTTTTTGTTTTCAGAACTTGTTTTCCCATGGCTTCGGCCTTTAGGTTATGGATGGCGACAACACTAACAGCTATAGATTAGATTAGACAGATTTTCGGACATTGTTCATGTTCTTCCTTTTGTCCTCTGGATTCAATTGGATGTAAATGTAATTAAACACCGCGTAAATGTCATTGATGAATGTCGTTTTGAGAGTGGCCAAATTGAACATGACTTCATAATAGTCAAGTGATCTATATTGAAGGATAAAGTTGTTATTTTTATGACATTTTTTAAATAAAATATTTGGTCATCTAAATTAGGTCGAATGACTAAATGTAACAATTTAATAGTTGTGTGATCAGTGGAAAAATGACAAATTGTTGTGTGAACTACAATCCAAAACGATGTTTATATATTTGAAGAAGATGATGCCAGGCCTACTAATATGAGTTAGAATAATGTATTTTATATATTTGAAGGAGAGTGATGCCAGGCCTACTAACGTGAATCACCCGGCCCATGACCCAACCCAATTGTCGTCCATACAGCTCACAAATGGTATCGTCGTCTATAAAAGCTCGGAAGCTTCGCGTCCGCAGATAAGGAGAGCTTCTCTGTCCTATGGTTTCTATCTCTCTCTCTCATCTTATCACACCAGGTTTAGGGTTTCGTAGAAGAAGGCAAGGCAAGAATCGGAAGAAACCATGCCGAAGAACAAGGGAAAGGGAGGTAAGAACAGGAAGAGGGGAAAGAATGAGGCTGACGATGAGAAGAGAGAGCTGGTTTTCAAAGAGGACGGCCAAGAGTACGCTCAGGTCCTCCGTATGCTTGGTAACGGTCGCTGCGAGGCTATGTGCATCGACGGCACAAAGCGCCTTTGTCACATCCGTGGAAAGATGCACAAGAAGGTCTGGATCGCCGCCGGTGACATCATACTCGTCGGTCTCCGGGACTATCAGGCAAGACCCAATTTTTTTTTTTTTAAATTCATTTTCTTTAAACACCAATCTCATTTTTCCATTGGATTCAACAAAAAATATATTTTCTTTTTTACTCTTTATGTATAAAGATTCTGTGTAAATCTTAGTGTTCTGGCCTGTCTTTACAATTTTTTTTAAAGTACTTTTTAGTTAACTTTTCAACATTATGAAGAGCTATAATTATAATTCACAAGCTGATTCTAATTGAAAGCAAATGCTAAGATATCTAAGAGAAGAACTGCATGCACATCTGGCTGCAGTTCATAGTTATACATGCCCTTTTCAAATGTTATTATTGCATATATTTTGTGAATATTTTCTTTTCTAGGCAGAATTACACTTGCTGATTGGGGTCTGTTCAACAAGAATGTGTAAATTGCAATCAAACATGCAAAATTATAACTCTCTATTCTGCTTGAATCAGCAATGGTCCTTGAAGTTGTGGAATTCACATAGTGTAACTAGAATGTGTTTATGCCATAAGAATTTGACCTATTTACAAATTCATTAGGATTAAGTAGATATTCTGTTTTCAACAAAGAATAATTGTTCTGCCATCCTTAATATTAGTCAAGTTCATTGATAGGCACAAGGGGCATGTGCATCAGTCTACATTTTCCTATTATATTTGGAAAGGATTTCCTGCCACTCTTGAGCAAAATTCACTATATTGTGTTATGAATGAATATGATTGGAAAGAAACAATACTTGCTTTTTTTTCCCTTACTCCCTAATCCTCTGCCTATGCGGATTTGTACAACACTGTGTTGTCCTAACGAAGAAGTGTTTTAACTACGTGCAGGATGATAAGGCTGATGTGATTCTCAAGTACATGCCAGATGAGGCGAGGTTGCTGAAGGCATATGGAGAGTTGCCAGAGAACACTAGGCTTAATGAAGGTATTGCTGGTGGTTTGGATGAAGAGGATGATGGTGGTGCTGATGATTACATTGAGTTCGAGGATGAGGACATTGACAAGATCTAAAATTTGCACTTACCATTCATGTCTTAGTTTGCCTTGCATTCTATCATTATATGAATGAATAGAGAGAGAGCTACTTATGTGTAACGTTGTGCATTGGGTGTATGTACAAAGTTTATGCTTTGATAGAACAACTACAACAATACTGCAATTTATCATTTTCTGTGTTCTAAATGGTTGTTTACTCGTATAGAATGAATTCAATAATTTTATGCCCGGTGTCTAACTAAAAGTATTACAACAAATTCATTATGCCCTTTGTCTAACTAAAAGTATTGCAACAAATTCATTATGCCCTTTGTCTAACTAAATGTATTACAACAAATTCATTATGCCCTTTGTCTAACTAAAAGTATTACAACAAAATAAATGAATGTGGAGAGGAAAAGAGGAAAGTTTCAACACTAAAGTAGTGATGGCATTGTGGATTGATGATGTTCAAAGTTCTATAACAATTAAAGATGTTGGGATATTATGTTGAGGTTCGAGTTTTATTACAATCAAAGATCAAAGATGTCGGCATATTAAAAAGTGTCGATTAGATAAGTCATGTTTTAAAAAAGTGGAATAAGGTTCAAATTGGCCACTGAACGTAACCTGAAAATGCAATTAGGCCACTGAATGAAAAAAAAGTGCAAGTAGGCCATTGAACACTTCAAAAATGTGCAATTTCACCTGACAGCAGGTTACCCTCAATTTTAGCAGGTTATCTGCTTACGTGGCAGCTGAGTTGTCATTTTTAATAAATTTTAAATATTTTTTAATAAATTTTTATTTAATTTTTTTTTAAAAAATAAAAACGACTTTATTTTATTTATTATTTATTTTTTTTCAATTTTTTATAAAATTTATTATTAAAATTAATTATTAAAAATTATTTAAAATTTATTAAAAATGCCAACTCAGCTGCCACGTAAGCAGGTAACTTGCTAAAATTGATGGTAACCTGCTATCCGGTGAAATTGCATACGTTTGGAGAGTTCAGTGGCCTAATTGCACGTTTTTGGAGTGTTCAGTGGCCTAATTGCACTTTATTTTCGTTCAGTGGCCTAATTGCATTTTCAGGTTACGTTCAGTGGCCAATTTGAACCTTATTCCTAAAAAAGTTGAACCCTGAATTAAACTTAAAGGTTCCTCATTGCTCCTACCCAGGAGATCGGTGGAAGAGATAAATTTAGAGATGCAACATAATTGGTCTGTATGACTGTATGTTCCCAAATGCTTGTACATTAGTGTCAACAATGACAAATCTAAATATAATTATATTATTAAATATAAAAGTATTCCATGTGGCATTTGATTAGATGAATTTAAAAAAAATATATAAACAGATAAAAATAAACAAATTATTAGTAATACCAAACTGTTAATTGATCTCTAACATAACTCCGTCAAACCACCTTATAGTCGTAGTCCAAATGTACTATAATCTAACCGCCGGCCCTGCATTCACAATATGTTTTGCATATTGTTACATTTGGATGAGTACAAATCACCCAAATAATCTTAACAGCACGATAGGTTCGTATAGTCAGTTATAGAAGTAGGTAGGATTGTTGAAGATAATATTCCCATTGATAAATGGGGAATTATGCAGGAAACGTGCTGCGGCGGCGCATCATCCAATTGGTTATATCCTGCGTGTTATTGTGGCCATCTTTACTCGTACGAGGATTGCAACAAACGTTTGATCGGCAGACATTGGATTCATTTATTGGGCAGCATGCACTTAAGAACGCATCTAATAGGCGCACAGGTAGATTGTATGATGTTGTTCTGCCGGCTAACTTTTCTGGCATGGAAGCCTCTGTTGTTCGGTTTAGAAGTGGTAGTCTTTGGAAAAGGGGGGCTAACTTTAGCCTCTTCCATATTCCTCCTAATATATTGCCGGTTCCCTTCATGAGGAGAATGAATATAGTGTTTGTCAATCTTGGAAACTGGTCGTCTTCCTACTACAACGTCCCTAACTACACTCTTGTTGCTCCCGTGGTAGGCTTGCTAGGCTACGATGCAGACATTATTGGTCCTTCTTCAAGTCACAGAAGGATAGATGAGTTTAGATTAATGAAGGATCGGATTCTAGTCCATTTTCCCAATAATAATAATAGATCATCTTTGGCGGGCATGAAATGTGTGCGTTTTGGGATAAATGGCGGTACAATGGAATTCAGCAATGTGAGGGTGGATGGGTTGTGTGTTGCGCGGGGACAAGGGCATTTCACCCTTGTGATTCCTATGGCGGAGGAGGAGGAGGAGGAGGAAAAGAAATGGAAATGGAAATGGTGGGCAGTAGGATTTGGAGTTGGAGTAATGGGATTGATTTTTGTGGGGATTATTATGATGTATAGAGTAGTGAAGCAGAAAAGAGTTGGGAGAATGCAGAAACAGAGTGAAAAGAGTGAGGCTTTGAATACGGTGTGGGTAGGGAGGAGTAGAATGCCTTACGCAACAAGAATCAGAACTGAACCAGTTATTGAAGATAGCTACGTCCCTTAATTAGCTTAGCTTAGCTTCAAAATCAATTATGCATGCATGTTTTCTCATCTTCAATTCATTTAGATTTAATTGGGGTGTTTTTCTTTTCTTCACATTCATAAGTGTAGTGTGCAGTGGTTAGTATTAATTAATTAATTGTATAAATTCATTTATTTATATAATGTTGGTTTGATAAAAGTGAAATTAATATGGGTACGCGCGTTTTGGATTGATTATTAGCTGCTTGATCGATCGAACCCGGTTATCCCGAAATTTTTCCCCACAAAGAGAGCTCATTTGCCACTTGAGCTACCCTGTTGGGTTATTTATACTAAATATATGTGAACAATATATAAATGCATTAGAATGTGCATTTTGCATTTTCATTCGTTGCCATGTTTATTATCTGGAGCAGATGGACAGGCTTCTATATGTATAATATATTGGTGAAGGAAGCTTGAAAACTCTGCTGCTAACTCTAGTGGTATTTATGCACTTAATTGATTGCATTCTATATAGTAGATCAGATCAAGTGTGTGTGTGCGTTCTATATATCACATGCATTTTCAAAGAGCTTAGTAGTAGATCAGATCAAGTGCAAGTTGAAGTTGAAGTTGAAGTTGCAGGAGATTGAGACTGCAGAACAATAAGCTAAGCAAGAACATCATATACATCTGGATTGGAAGATCGAGATAACTTTAGCTAAGATCATCGATATGATGACAAGAGGTCGATAGTACAACTAAGTCCTTGATTGATGCTAGCTAGCTCTTATAACTGATGCGGCAATGATAGCCTAGCTTGCAATTCTCTTCTTTTAGACAATTAAATTAAGTTGGGTGATTTGTTATTTGTTTGACGGATGTGTTTTTTGTGCTCTCCATCTCTAAATTCTTAAACTGATGAGATTAGATAGTAGCAACTGTTGATATATCGTACTGTGTTAGCTTTACTTTCTAAATATTTATTGCAGAATTTATTTATTTTTTACTCAATGGTAATGAGTGATTGATTGATTAATTGATTGATAATAGTGATAACAAGCAAAAGACGTGAATCACGTAATTTTACATTTCATCTAAAAGATGAATATATTTTAAGATAAAAGTGAATGTTCTGACAAAAATAATCCAGTATAAATACTTGAAACATAATTTTTATATTAAAGGTCATGAGTTATTTAGTGTTTGGAGGATTTCAGTTCTCTTGTCAACCAAAAAACACATAAAAATGAATGGTTATTAAAGAAAATACAAATAAAAATAAGAAAGTCATATTAATGGCCAACTGCCAGGCCAGTCAAAGAGGAAGAGGAAACAACGCAGTGAATCATTCCATTTTTTTGGTCTCGAATCTATCGTCAGGTTGGTCTGTGTAGATATTCTTGTGCAAGTTCGAATTGTTTGACTTTTTTTCTTCTTTTTTTTTTTCCGATGTTATCTGATCTAGGTTTTCATTTTTGTCATGTATTTATATATATAATAACCATCAGATCGGAGCTGATCTCTTGGATTCCTAGGAGCCTTTTTGAACGATGGCTTCGAAACGGATCTTGAAGGAGCTCAAGGATCTTCAGAAAGATCCTCCTACCTCATGTAGCGCTGGTATGCTCCTATTCATCTATGTGTTTCTCTAAAAATGTAATTTTTTTTGTTTAATTTTTAGCTTTCGTGCTTCCTTGCAAGAATCGATTTTTGGATGGTCTGTGGTTCCGTTAGCTGGCTAGTTGTTGTACTGAGATCATATTCGTGTGCATTTTAGTGTCCCTCAGGAATAGTGCTTCATGGTTTATAGTTAGTGTTTTGTATCATTTTTTCATGATATATATAAACAAGTGGTTGTGCAGAATGCTTTAATCTAGAGGATTGCTAATATATGTTGAACTTACCTTCCTTAAGAAGAGAAGATGATAACATCTTCCATTTGTGTTACCTGTTGAACAGGACTTGTCGGCGAGGACATGTTTCACTGGCAAGCAACTATAATGGGTCCCCCAGATAGTCCATATGCAGGGGGGTTGTTTCTGGTTACTATTCATTTCCCCCCTGATTATCCATTTAAGCCTCCAAAGGTAACAACTTTTGGTCTCTGCTGTTTTGCATTACCATTCTCTTGTTTGTTTGCTTTGCTATTTTAAAAAGTAGAAAATTCACTCTGTGGTTATGTGATGATTTTTCAGTTTGGAAAACTACCCTGCCTGGTGAGACCCCCTGGCTTTATATTGTTATTATTGCCATGGCCTAATTGTTCCTATTTCTTAGTACTGAAACTGTACAGTGGTTGTGTATGAATGAGTTACTTACTTAAGGAACAGGGATAAGGAAAATAAAATAAATTAAAAAGGATTTTTTAGATCATTATCCATGTGAAACCCGTTTAATCTGCCTTCCCCACCATGGGCGTACTATCAGATGTTTGTTGCAATGGAAAGGGGTAGAATGTCTTTGGTAGTTCCTTGGAGGAAACTCAAGCATGAAAGTGTCTCTGAGATCAAATTTCCATCAATATGAAATCAAAATCTACTATAAGATGTTTGTTGTAACTTGGAATTGGAATGCTCTGAATGTGTGATGTATTTTTACTTGGAAGATGAGTGCCTGCCCCTTCTTTTTCCTAATAAAAATTGCACTTTTATTACTTTATATATTTTGGTGCTTCTTGCAGATTTCAATTATGTATTCGTAAATGTAATGTTACATCTGCTTCAGGTTGCTTTTAGGACAAAGGTATTCCACCCTAATATTAACAGCAATGGTAGCATTTGCCTTGATATCTTGAAGGAGCAATGGAGCCCTGCGCTAACTATTTCCAAGGTTTTGAGATTGCAGTTTGCTTACTATGTTGCCAAGAATTATTGCAACACATCATGGCAATTGAAATTAAATTTCCCGTGTCTGAAATCACCTCCCTAACTTATAAAATGATAATAACAATTTAAAAAGAAAAACGAGCCACCCCCTAAACCTTTTTATTAGCTTTTGGGTGTCTTCCTCCAGTCAATTGCTCCTCTTTTTTTCAGTTCATCTTCTCCCGTTTTATGTTTCTCTATCTCATCATAGGCACTCATCAAGTGTAATTGAATGATCTGAAAGAGCACTTAAAGAGTAGAATCAAGGTTTTTCCAATAGTAATCTTGTTTGAAACAGCACTATAGCATCAAGGGTTTTGCACAAGATTTTTGCATCTTGTAGACTTGGACCCAAAGCTTAATAAAATAATAATCACTGGTTCTGGTTTGAATCATTCATTATTCACTTTTGGTGTGCTTGATTCTTGAATAATTCAAGTTTGTTAATTTCCTGTACATGATAAATTCCTGAATCCCGTTTCTTAAGGTGGGGAAGGTTCTTTACATTTCTTTCAGGTGTTGCTTTCGATCTGTTCGCTTTTAACAGATGCAAACCCTGATGATCCATTGGTCCCAGAGATTGCCCACATGTACAAGACAGATAGAGCAAAGTATGAAGCAACTGCCAGGAGCTGGGCCCAGAAGTATGCAGCGGGTTGACAGGACCAGACTGACAATTGCATTATATTATGTAAAGTTACAAATTTGTCTGTCCTCCTAGTAACTGTTGCAGCAATCAACAAGTGTAAAATGGTGCTAACTATACTCAAGTGTGTGTAATTTTTAGTTTGGATTGTGTTAGTTAATTTGTCAGGGTTGTGCTCTCTTAGGGGTTGTGCAATTGCTCTTTATAGTAAGTACTCTGTAATGGAAAATGATTGTGATTATGAAAAATTGACATAAAAATTTTTAAAGCATGTTCCAAAGGCAATTAAGTATAACTTGTGAGTTTTCATAAACCCAAACAAGTCATCGTGTGGGAAAGTTTGGCATTGTACTAACAAGGTATATAGACGATGAATAGAAGAATACGGAGTATTATTTATGGTTTAAGGAATGGAGGGGAGAAAGCTTCAGACAAAAAATATGTGAATTTATTTATTTATTTATAATATAATAATAGGAATAAGAGGGATATAAACCGCCAAGCAATCCACGTCATAGAGCCACTAAGTATTACAATAAACTGAAGAACATCAGCCTAAGCAAAAGCAGGCATTATCAAGTCATCAACTCATTTGAAGTATATCTTATTGAGAGAGATGAGCATTAAGCCCAACTCCAATGCAAAAGTTTGGACTAACACAAAATACATGGAGAAACCCTCAATCCAGTTGAAGATCAGATCATCAAATAAAGCCGAAACCAAATCCCTTACTACTTTCTTTTCCTACTTGCTTGAAGCCAGTGTCTCTGAGTTTCTTGGCTTCGGCTTAATGGCTGGATCCTGTAAATTTGGCCAGCAAATGAACATTAGTTTCTGTTGTACACACTAAATAGAGATAAGCAAAACATGCAACAAGCAATGTATCCCAAGATGAAATAATGACCCCTATCTAAGCCAGTATGTCCCAATAGCAATTAGCAAGGCTGAATATATGTAACTAACTATCTTTAAACCCTGGTGATACCATTCCACAATAGGTAGTAGGACCAAGCTCCAAAATGCAGGCAGCTTATGGGCAATAATGAATACATAGATGGTTCTTTTCCCAAACTAATCTAAAGATTAAAATGCTATGAAGAATGAATAACTAGACAAAAAACAACTCTGCAAGACAACTAAATTATCAAGAATTGAAAGTAATGGGTACTCATTTGCAGTACTGAGTAAAGAGAGAGAGAGACATTTCCTGAGCAATCCTAATAAAAACTAATGGGATATTTAAATGAAAAACAACATTAGGGAAAATATAATCATTCCATCCTATCAAATATGCCTTCCATTCACCATCACCAAAACGGGAAGAATAGGACCAGAAACAACATTGAGTTCGACATACAGCTCACAGGGAAACAACAGAACCTTATCAAACAATTTCTATGAATTAAGGCGGCAATTAAGGAAAGAAAATGGCTAATGGTTGAACATGTGCCCGACCTTTTGCCGGTAAATGGATTAATCAATTAAAGTAGGCAAAAGTGTTAAATAATTACAGATGCAAACACAAATCAATCCCAAAGCAATCAAATAAAACTGGAATTTCAGACAAGATGAAGGGAAAAAGTCACAATCCTTGCTATATATCGGCGATCCATCAAAACGAAATAAGAACCTACATGAGATTGATATCATCATACACATAAGCATGTATTTTGAATACCGTAAATCAATACGAGGAATAAGAAAACTGAGGAATCGAAAAAAAGGGAGTTACACTTTGGGAGAAGATAAGGTGTCCCACGACGACGGCGCCGACGACCGCGCCGACGATAGACGTTGGGCCAGTTAGCAGACTCCACTTTCTGTATATCATCTTCGATTCTTCTTCTTCTCTCTCTGTGTCTCTCTGCGAGTCGATTCTGGAGGAATGCGATGACTAAGGGAAGGGGAGGGGAGTTGAATGAAACCAGATCTTAGGAACCTCTCTGTACGACTGGACCTAACCAAACACTTAGCCCGAGTAAATAGGCCAGTCCAGGCCCAGCCCATTAATATTATTATTATTATTATTATTATTATTATTATTATTATTATTATTATTATTATTATTATTATATTACAGTACGGATTACGGAGTATTATATTATATTATATTGTCTGATGTTGAACCAAAAATAGGAACAACTTTTTGAATTACAAAAACAACATAAAGCTCTAACACACAACTTCGTTCCTAGTTAGGAATTTGTAATGGGAGGGAGGGAGGAGGGAGGCTAGGACCAAAATTCACTTGGATTATAATCAGTGAAGGGTGGACCAATCTAAATAATATGTGAGTTAGAAGTCGAGTGACATTAAATTCTGTGTTTAGCAAAAATTGGGAATAATAATCATTTTAGACTAGTAATAATGACAACTACGATAGAAGTACATAGATTTTGATATTGATGTTAGAGACATAATAAAAAATGATGTTAAGCATCTCTGAATGAGTTTTGAAGCCATTTAAATGTACAAGAGCCATGGTCCGGGAGTTATGAGAAGTGGTGCATAAAATTTACTTTGAAATTTTGGATGTGTTGTTGTTATGAAAATAGAACACCCTCTTAGTTTTACTATGAGAATAGAAGAACAAGAGGGACCTTATATGCTATATGTTTGGTATTTGTCCATAGTAAGGTTTAAACTATCATGAAAATGAAATTCAAGTTTGTTATGAATTATGACTATGAGAATTGTTATTGATGCATATCCCACCTGTTAACATCTTGTCAAGATTCAACCAATTCCGAATCATTTCCTCTATTTACTTTTTTTTTTTTTTTTTTTTTTTAAATTGCTGTTTTATTGCTTACATGTTTACTTCTTGTCACTACCCTTAGGATCATATCACCACTTATTTCAATTGGGCTTAGCTTTTACATGACTAGTGTTTGACTTGAATCCTGCTCTTTGGCCTTCACCCACACACTACCCTTAGAGAACAACCTCTTGTGAACACAAGTCACCCACACACTACCCTTAGAGAACAACAACCTCTTGTGAACGCAAGTCACACCATACTAGCAAATTATTATGTGGACTGATGTAGCAAAAATAAGATGTGAGCTCGGGTGTGTTATATCGTCCTCAGGGGATTGGGGGATATGGCACGCAATATGCAATCACAATAAACTAGGCACTAGCATATGGAAATCAACAAGAAGCTAAGTAAACTACAAGGTTAAGAAAATGATAAGACTAACACATATACACAAAGATAAACACAAAATAAAGAAATAGGACTCAAGTTAGGGAGCATTATCATCTAAATACTTTAACAACCTAAGGGATTAGGGAGAACAAGTAACCAAGGAATCAAGCCGGAATGCACGTAGGTATCCTAGTCTACGAACCATTCTCATGATTAATAAACAAGGAATCACCCCACCTTCGTGGTGAATCAATTCCAAGTCCATCAAGCACACAAAGCATCTAAAGCCCCCAATTTCTCATATTTTCGTAGGAAGAAATCGGGTCTATGCAAGGGGTGGCTTGGATTCATCACCCAACTCTCGTTGAGGCAAGGAATCCTCCAAAAACAAGCTAATGAATGTGTACATCAAACATTAACAAGATGTAAATACAAAACCTTCACAAACACATGAACCCTAAGTTGGAGTTCTTCCCCTTTTTGCAATAATCACAAATCAAGCATCAAGATAGATAATACAACCCTAACTCAAGTCCATAAACTAACTACTCATGATTCAATAGCATAAAGAACACAAAAACATAAATGTAAAACATAAACATTGCAAGATAAAGAGATAAAAGGGAAAAGAAAACTTCACTAAGAAATAGATGGTGAATCTTGGAATCCAAGTGTTGAATTCTTGATTACAAGCTTGAAAAATGTTAAGAAACCTAAATCTAAACCTAATCTAACACTACAATATAAAAGGAAGTGAAAGAGAGAAGCTAGGGCTCAACCATGGGTCAAAACCGAGTTGAAATGACCCAAAAACGCGCCTAAATAGAGCAGAGCACAGTGGGACGCCCTCAGGGATGGGCATACGCCAGGCAGTACCATTTTGGGTGCATTTCCAGTGAACACTGGAATGGTCGTACTGGCATGCGTACGGGCGTACGACAGGGCGTACGCCACCTGCTTCTTTTTTCAGATCTTGGATGGACTGATGGATGGGCGTACGGTACTCTTGAAATTCCTAAATGCATTCCAAACTCTTTGATTGATCTCTTGGTCCAAGAATTGTTAGGATCTTTCAAAAAATCATTGAATTTCTCACTTGTTGTGAATGATTGCACCTTGAAATAAAACCAACATAACTTAATCACATTTCACACAAGTTTGTAAACAATTCACAAATAAAATGGGTTCAAGAAGGGGTAAAAATATAGACAAAAACGCACTTATCATGGACCCAAGGTGGAACCGGGTTCAAAAATTCACAATTTATATACTGAATGTTTACAATTTTATATACTAAATATCCACAATTTGAATTATGAACATTCAGTATGTAAACTGTGAACATTCATTATATAAATTGTGTATTTTGACCCGAGTCCACCTTACAAGGTGAACCGGGTCCATGGCATAACTATTTGCACTATACTCAAGTGGGTTACTGCAATAAAAACCAGTAATAAATCTGTCTGGTTACATGTAACAACTCAGGGAAAGAAAGGTCCATTCCTTTGAAAATTGGCACCTATACCTATTCAAAATACATCAACATATTCAGACTTTTACAATTAATCCTGGAATCACTCCTCCCTCATGTATCTATGTACTTCGGAGACAAAATGGTCCTCACAAGTTCTTTTAAATTCGCAAGTACATGACGTGGCCCTAAACTTGTCACGCCAATATAATTCACCAGCTGCTCTAGATCCTACAATCCGGACAAAAACAAAAATGTCAAATAATTTCAAGTCTTACTACAATAAGACACCATTTTTAAGCGCTATCAGAAGAAAACAATCAGGCTAAAAGATACTACTCAGCAAGTATATTACTCATTCCGTCTACCACACCACATATCCAAATGCAAACTTTCTCTATAAGTTGAGCAAAATGAAAATTTCACACTTTTGTAAGTGTCAACAAATTATATAGCTAGACAACTCCAAGGGGCATGCTATTAGCTCTCTCACCCAACAAAACGGCATACGCTTCAAATTTACTTTTCTAGACTTTTTCATAAGCAATTAGACATAAAGAAAACACAAGTACATGAAGATGAAGTTAACCTTATTTAGCAAGAACACAGCATAAGCTGCTCTTGTTGAATCTTGCCCTTCTAAAAACAGAGGAAATTCCATCTGATTTGAATTTGAGGTGACTGATGAATTCGATGCCATATCAGATGATGAAGGCTCAACCGAAGGTGCATAATCACGAATATATGATCGAGAACCTCCTAACCGCAAAGGATAGCGAAGAGGAACTTGTAAATAGGAAGCAATAAGTAAAACAGCCTGTGATAAGATCATTCAACAAAATCAATAAGTACAGCGCAAAAGCAGAGATAAGACAGATCAAAGAAAGAGAACTTCACTATGACAGAGAAGTACTACCTCTGTCTCATTTACTTGTCATGCTTATTATTCATTGGTCAAGCCAACTCTTTCTTCTTAACTTTTTTTTTTTTTTTAGTATTTTAAAATTATTTTAATTTGATTTTTCTTGTTTAATAGTACTATTAATGTAGTTTCTAAATATATAAATTTTACACTCTAATAATAAACTTAATATTATGAAAAATTAAATTAATAATAACTTCAATCAAGCCTTATTAACCGTACCAGACATAAAATGGGACGGACGGAGGGAGTAAAAGGTTATGGTTGGTTGTCGGAAGATTTTATAAGATATTAAATCCAAACAGGCCACCATTTTTAGTAAACAACAAAACAGCTGATTCTTGCCAAAAGAAAAAAGGAAAAAAAAAAAAAAAAAGAAAAAAGGAACAGCTATTTATTAAATATGAGAAAAGAGAAAGAACACACATGTGCAACATGTCCTAGAGCAGTTGCAGACCTCTGAACCGCCTTCTTATCAGTGAAAAGACCCATCTTTGTAAAAGGAACCATAGTAAGATGTAGACCCGCAATTGTTAGGGGTCCTTGATCAACACCTTTTTCTCTGGTAGAATCACCTTAAAAGCAAAAATAGAGTTAAAACTTCAACACGAGGTAATGACAGCCAAATTATTCAGAACTAAAACAAACAGCATCCAATAGACAGCAGGAAAAACATGCAGCATCCAATAGACAGAGAAGGCAAAACATGCAGCATCCAACAAACAGACAATAACCAGTAGGTTATCATAAGATTTAATACCTGATTTGATAGCACCGGCAAATGATCCAAATTCTTGTTCTGGTGAATAACCAATCACTGTCTTCACAGGATAAAGCACTTGAACTTGTGATACCATATACTGTTCTCTCAACCTCAGCAATCTCTGCAATCTCTTCAAGTATTTGAGATAGCCATAACTAGTTCCCCCAGCAAGTGATCTACTCACATCCTGTACCAAGGTATAAACAAAATTTCTCACCTTTCTTAAAGGAAGAATAAGAGAAGCAAATACCAATCCTAAATTACTGACAATCAAAATATAAAGCTTTTCTCTGTTCAAATGAAAACAAAAAAAAAAAAAAAAAAAAAAAAAAAAAAAAAGTGGACCTCCATGAGCCATTAAAAATGCTAGCAGATTTTGACACAGGCAAACAAGGGAGAAGAAAATAAAAACATAGTATTAAAATGTCACATACTACATATTTGTTAGCCTTTTTTTTCCTTTATTGCTCAAAAATTGATTTCTTAGTAAAAAGAGTACTATATTCCAATTTTGAATTGTCATGAGGAAGATAACTAGTGCCAAATCACAATAGGTGTAACATGGAAGCAGTGATCCAGTAATGCATTAAGTTAAACTTAAAACTTGAAAAATATACAAGTTATGACACCTGCAAGTGATTGCGAGCTAAAGAAAGAGCATTTCCAGCAACCGACAGAGACCTGATCTCATTACTAAGTTGCTCCTCTCGCTTCTGGACTTTCTCTTTCAAAACCTTTGAATCCATTGACATGTTTCCCATTACAAACTTTCGAGATTCCAATTTTTCTCTCATCTCGTCAAGCTCATTTGAACGGTTCAACGACTCTTCTTCCACCTGGAGACCATGATACAGAAGCCAAACTTCTTATTAAGGTTTCTTTAATTATCCTTGATGATAAGTGAAGCCAATAGACCTTATTACATTATTTTGTCAGTCTCCACCCACAATTGCAGTCTAGCTAAAACACCCCTTGCTTGAGAAACTATTTCTTATTGTACTTAAGTTTCCGTCCTGGCAGCTCTAATAAAAGGCATAACATCACATTGCTTTTAATTATCAAGTCTTCTGTTAAACTCCTGATTAGCTTAACAGACTGTAAAGAACAATTCACTGTCAAATAGCTTACTTGAACCCAATAAAATCCAATGATATCTCAATTTATGAGGAGTTTCAGTAATTGTTCATTTGTTTGATCATTTTTCTATCAACCAAAAAAAAAAAAGTTGTTTCGATCGGGTTGTTTGGACGCTCAGAGGAACTAAAAGGGAGATAATGTGAAAAACTAGGCTTATATATTGTTTTTAAAAGGCTTACCTGTATGCTGGAGTGGAGCTTTTGGCAAAAGAATTGCTTCTTCTGATTGGCTTCATTGACGGCAGAGGTGAGACTGCAGAGGCGAGCCAGCTGTTGCTGGTAATCTTCCCAGTGTATGACCTTAGCGTTTTGGCCTAAGCATTGTTGTTTCTGACCGTGCGATGAAGCAACGGCTTTGCTGGATTTCATTTAGAAATGAAATTAAGTACCTGATCAGGAATTCCGATGATGTTCCAAGTGCAAGCGCGAGTGGAGTACCTCTTCAACATCGTCATCGGAGAATTAGGGTTGCAACAACCATTACCTCCTCATCGGGAGATATATTTTGAAGGAGTGCGCGCGTGGGAGGATTCCGTCTGCTCTTGCCTCCCTCTGGGGACGGGACGGGTTCCAATCTCACCTTACTAACTTAGCTTAACCAAAGGCGTAACTGCTCTGTTTCTTCTTGCCTACATTGTGTTACAGTTGTTTTAGTTCTTGTTGGCATTTTTCCGCAACAATATACGGAGTAAAATACAATAATTTCTATTTTTGGTCCTTAATAAGTTAACTTTTTCCATTATTATTATTTTAAATAAATGGTATCCTTACCTCTCTCCATTAAAATCATTTTGATATTTTCTCTTCTCCTATTTAATTTTGAGAAAAAAGATATTTTATTTTTCAATTATGAGCTTTACCGAGACTCCTTGATTGTAACAAAATGAGCCCATATATTATTTATACTTATCCATACAAAATAATTTTAAATAAAATAATTAATTAAAAAAAATGACCGCAAATAACAAAATAATTTTAAATAAAATAATTAATTAAAAAAAATGACCGCAAATGAATCGTCTCAATGGCCGAAGACGAACGGGACTTTCGCCGCTTCGTCTCCATGGCCAGGAGACGAAGGTCGTCTCCAGCCGTCCTTTTTTTTTTTTTTTTAAACATGGACCTAATTACATTGTTTTTTAATTCGATAGCCTAATTACATTTTGGTGTGCAATTGGGTGACCTATTTAACCCTTATTCCTTGGATATTTACTCACTTATTTTTGTTACTATTGAACATAAATATTCTTGGGTCCTGTAATTTTTTGTGGTCTGATATAGTAAGTTAAAATATAAAGGTGTTTTCTCAAAAATAAATAAAGGTGTAAAATTAATCAAAAACAGACCCTGGCCGGCTGGCCACATCTTTAACATATAACAACACCATTACAACTACTACAACTCCTGAGGATAGATCTTCCTTATTATGTCTTTCACTACTGTTATTATTATACATAGTATACCAATCTGACTATAATCCGAGCTGCTTGTCCTGATGCATATCCCACCATTTAGCTTCTTGTTCATCTCCGCCCTAACGCCTACTTTACACCTTCTTCCCCATATAAGGGTAGGTTGATCATATCCATAATCACAGTCCCATCCACGCAACTTGAAAATAGGTCCAGTATGAATTCTGCTTGATGATTCACCCTCATTTTCATCTTCTTTGCCTGAATTAGACAAATATGCTGGCTTACTATTACTGTCTGAGTCCACATCCTCACCTTCACAGTTTGGATGAACATTGTATTGGAGTACAGAAGATAGGAAATATGTAAGAGGAGGCCAACACATTTCAAAGTCAGGGTCCAAAGGATCCCTACTTAATTCTGACACAATCTTCATTGAGTAACACAAGACCAGTAGCTGAGATCTCCAATTTTCTCTGTGTCCATTTCCGTTTCTCATACATAAAGACTGGTTTTCTACCAGAGATATTGGATTCATCAAACCAGCATTCATTATATGCAAATCACCAACAGAATGTTTAATCAACTCCTGAATAGCATGCAATCTCTGAGCCACAAACATTTCATAGCTTAAGGGTTTCCCAGTTGATCCATCAGGAGGACTTGAAGCTGCATGGGTCAGGGTAACAATGGTTTTCTCCCATATTGATGGACCAAGATATGTGGTGATGGATTTCAACAATGGCAAATCACAAAGATCTCTAGTTTGTGTATCCAGACGATCAACGTAAAGGATAACATCTGGAGGGCATCTTTTCATGGCCTTCTTTATAGACAGCAGCACTTTGCGGTTATATATTTGTTCTGCGATGGAAGATCTGAGACCGGGAGTGTCCAAGACTCTAACTATGACTCCCTCCAATGTCCCAACCATCTCCTTCACAGTGGTTGTGGCAGGTTTAAATGCATCAGTCACTGCTTTGTCTTCATGGAAAATGGAATTTATAGTAGCACTCTTGCCAACTCCAGTTTTCCCAATAACCAAGACATTCAAAGACAAGTTCAGGTTGTTCCTACCATCTGATTCAAACTGCAGTGCTTCTGTTTGAGCAAATGGCTTCCCTGTAGCAAGTGCTAGACAACTAAAAACCTGTGCAGCTATGGAATCTTCAGGAGGCTGATTTAGTCTGTGGATTAGATGCAAAAATTTTAAGCGCAACTGCTGTATCTTCTCAAGTCTACTCCTTTCTGCTTCACTTAAGATTCCTTGTGCTTTATGTTCAACTGAATGATCTGAAGGAGCAGAAATATTAGAATCCTTCAGTTGGGAAACAATCCCCGAAGGTTCAAGTGTGGATCCTAATCCAGCAGTTTCAAATGTTTCTTTCTCTTTGTTTTCTTCAATTGTGTCCACCTCTCCATTTGAGTCTGTAATAACTTCACCATCTATATTCTGCACATGATCCAGGCAGCTGAACCGATAGTCTGATTGATCGATGGTTTCCTTCACTCCAGAATCTTCAAAGGTCAATCCATCATCGTTGTTGAATGAAAATGAATTTTCCTCATCTTCCACTGATTTGAATGCACAATTATCATCTTTATTATTATTTATCTGTAACTCTGGAAGGGAATTGATTGCCATAGATTGAGAAATGTTGGAATCTCTTGACAACTCATCTCCTTCTGCAAGTCCATGAGTTGTATCCACTTCAGTGCCACTCAGGGGAAATAACTGATCCTGGGCTGCTGATATTTGAACATTTTCTGCACCATCACTGCTCTTAACTTCATCACCCTTAATGATTTCTTGCTTGACTATGCTGTCTTGGATCTCATTCTTAGCTATTTGAGTGAGACAAGCAGTTTCTCCAACCTGTAAGTTACTTTTGGCAATCCCCATTCCGAAGAAATTAAACTCCTTAGGTTCTGCTTCAATTACCCACTTAAAAACAACAGGAAGTTTAGAATCAATATCCAAGTTCACAAACTCTCTATCTTCTTCTAATTGCATGCCAGTGGATTCCAGCTGCTCTTTACTTGTCACCCTACATTCTACTTTTATCTCTTCAACATCACAATCTGGCACTGAATCAGGAACAGTGCAGTGAGCAATAATTTGGTGTTGGACATAATCAGAAACCAAACTCTTCGTTTTACCACTCAACACTGAATCTACTACAACAACCTGTTTTTCTTGGGCATTCTCATCTTCCACCCCACCTTCATCCACTACAACATCTGGTTCAATTGCATTCTCATTGCATTCTAACTCCTCACCTTCGACATTGAGGACTCTAACTTTAGGTGCACTTCCTCCTATCCTCTCTAACACTGTAGTATAAGTTGGAACTCTAACAGAGCGGTCAGAGCCAGAGAAACCATCATTGAAATCTTCCATTACTACACTACCTTCGGAATCATCATCATTGTCCACTGACAACAAGGCAATCGGTATACCTTGTCTAAAACCACTATGTCCCACATTTCCAACATCTGGGCCAGTTAAAGAAGATATATAATCATCATCAAATTCATCGAGATTACTCTTTACTTCAACACTTTCACCCTCTGAGTATTCCACAGAAGGCCTATAATCAAAGTGGTTAAGGGTTTGGTCATTTGGGCCTGGTTCTCGGTCAGAGTAATCCATCTCAGAATTAGAGTCAAAACCATCCTCACCGCTAATAGAAGCTTCAGAAGCAGACCTAGTGTAAGCATCAGAAATGCTACTGTTGTTTTCGCCATTACTAAGAGATGAGGAAGAATACTCGAAATCATCGGAATCATCAATAGTGAGAGGAGCTCGTATACCTGTGAAAGGAGGCTGTGATGAAGGGGTCACCTGTGCTGTCCCTGTGGTTGTGGAGTCCATAGTACTGTGCGTGTTTGAGCTTCTTTTTTTTTTTTTTTTTTTTTTTTTGAACTTGCTATAGCAAATAATGAGAAATGAGGCTTCTTCGGTTTGTGCAGCAGTAGGGAAATGGGGGAGGAAGAATTGAAGTTTTTAGGGTTTTCCTGGAACAACAATTTGTTGTGTTGTTTTTGAGGCTGTGGTGATATTGTCGCAGCTACCGTAGTATATATTTGTTGGTCTTATCTGTAAATCTGTAATGGTTGGAGAATGTGACGCTTCACCTTTGGATTCGCTAGTTTGGGGCTATCTTCTTTTTGGATGGTTTTTTTATTTGTCTTTACTAAAAACAAGAGATTTATTTATTAAAGAAAGAAAAAAAGAAATGATGAGCGATCGAACCTCAAACGCGACAAGTCGAATCAGCCATCAGTCATATATAAAAGTTAACGGAGGTGTTTGGCAAATGCTCTTAGCTGATGATTGGATTAGTAAGTAAGTTTGATTAATTGACAATATTAATTGATTGTAAAAGAAAGATTTGATAAATTAATTGTTAGTTGATATCTGATTATATACAAAATGATTTTTGTCAAAAAATTTGTCGAAAAACTACTTTTAGCAATTTTTTGAATTTTAGCATTTTGAAGCAATAAATTGTTACAAAAAAATAATTAATCAAGCACTCATATGGATTGTTTAACCAAGTCAAACTATATAAAGCACTAGCCAAGCCTGAATTGATGGATATGAGTTATAGTTTACGGTACTCATACCCATCTAAAGTTATGAGTTATAATTGTAGTGATGTGGTTCATTATCGCTTCCACTACTACAAAATTAGATTTCTTGTAATCAATTAGTTTACATTGAATCAATGTTAAATTACATTTATATCTAACAATCTTATCTAAAACAATTAACCTAGCTAGCTAATTTAACATCGTCATCAATTAATCTCATGATATCATATCTTAGATGGATCACATTCTAAAATTAAAAACTATATGTTAGGGGTTGAAATTGAATTGATGAGATGATGGGCTTAATTAATTAACCTAACCTGCATGCATGCATATATATATTCTATATATTATCATATCCCAGAATTGTAGGGGATACCGGTGGGCTTGATCCAGGCATCTCCCTTAAGGAAGACTCCGGCAGTAAATCGTTTAGCAACCTCGGGTGTAATGCGCTTCTGGTAACCCTTCCAGTTGACCCTGGCGTTGGTTTTAGCGCCGGGGCCCCTGTTCTGGTACTCCGCATACCAGCAAGTGTTGAGTCCAAAGTTTCCCATCCAGGGAGCCCACCCCGTAGGGTGAATGAAGGCGTCGATGTAAGATTTCATGATAATTGTTCTGGAGTACTCCTTCCAAGGGCGGCCCAAGTAGACGGTGACGGGTGGCTTGACGGTTTTGAGAGCTGCCTCCGGGAGGAACTCCGAATTCTGGATGACAATGGCGCCAACTCCACGGTGGTCCTGCCTACCCTGGGCGGTGATCATGCAGGCCTGGCTTCCCAAGGGCTTCCTCACGATCATTCTGCAGTTCTGAAACACGGCGGCGGCATCTCCAAAGATGAAGTCAATGGTGCCGGTGATGGTGCAGTTGCGGAAGTATTGCCTGTAGGAGTGGGTGTAGAGGGAGTCTTGGTACCCATCTATGCGGCAGTTGTAGAAGATGGCGTCGTCAGCCGAGACGCGGAGGGCGACGGCCTGGTGCTTAACGGCTCCCGCCGAGTTCTCGATTCCGATATCTCGTGCCATGAAACCATCTCCTTGGATAGCAACTGTGGCGGTCTTGAATGTGGCTGTGCCGTCTATAAAATTCAAGCCGCCTGTGATCTTGGTCTTTGTGGGACCATCTCCCACGAATACTACTTTATTCATCTTTCTAGGAACCGTCACTTGTTCCTTGTAAATGCCGGCCTTGATTTTGATGACGTAAATGACGTTGTTCGTGGGGGGGATTGCACTAATAGCGCTTTTTATGGTCTTAAATCTGCCGCTTCCGTCCTTAGCAACCACTGCTTTGGGTTTGAGCTGGAGGAGGAGGAGGAGTCTGCTTCTGCGCCGCTCCTCCTCTTCCTCCTCCTCCTCAAGTAGCCGCCTTTTCTTCTTCATTTCCAATCCCGGGATATCCAGGGTTTGGAGGACTTCGCTGAACTGGGTAACCATGGCGAGGCCGTTGCTGGTGAGCTCCCCCGTGAAGTTGAGAAGTTTCTTCATTTTCTCGCCGGTATCACCGGTTGTGTTCTGGAAGGCATCTAAACATGTCTGCTGGTTAGTAATGGCACCACTGAGCCAAACCTTCACGTCGTCCGAGTACTCTTTCATCCTCTCCATGCCGAATCCCTCCACCTTATCCAAAGACCTCCTCATATCGTCCATGGAGTCGTTCAGGACTTGTTTGCATACATCTAGAGCTCCGGAGGTACGGGGGTCCTTACTGGCTTTCTTCAATAAAGGCGAATGAGAGATGACATCGCTAAGGTTCTTCATGGCCGCGTCGAAAGCCACCTTTATAAGCTCTTTAGGGTTGCTCGTGTTCTTTGCGTTAGAAAGGCTAGTCTCGCATGTGTCCTTGTAATCGGTGGTGGCGCAAATCGCGTGAGCCGATTTGGTTGAGGTTGTAAGTTGTTGCTGGCCCTCCGAAGACCCACCGCCATTCTTACTCACGGATACGGTGGCAGCCACCGCGCAGGCCACCAAAAGAACACCGGCAACGCTAGCAATCGCCGCGTTTTTTTTACTTCCAGGGTCAGACATGTTTTTTTTTTTTTTTTTTTTTAAAAAAAATTTCGTGCATAAAGAAAAGAAAAGAAAAATTATATTTATATTTATTTATGATTTTTATAAGCCCGTAGGCTGTGACGGATGATTGAAACATGAAAGGAGGCAAAGCCATTTATTTATATGACGCAAAAGAAATGTGGATTGGTGAATTTGTTTCGAGGAATTTGAGGTTGAGAGGCAATAGGTACTTATGTAGTACAGCAAATATACCAAGATTTTCTCTTCGCCAGTAAATAAAATGGCACCACAGGTGACAGATATGTGATCGATGTTGAACTGGTCAGCTGAATTTAATTTTGAGGGAGGGAGAATTTCAGGTCAATCGTTTCATTTTTCATGTTAATAATTTACTTACTTTTAATTGCCAGTGGTTGTTACAAGACAAGCTGCAGCTATGCTAACTGCTAAGCTATCTGTCGTTTTCTATTCTCTTGTTCTGACTTCTGAGTACAGTTTATGTAATTTGCAAGCTATTACCATTTCGTTCTTTTTCGAATTCTTATTACTCCGCCAGCCGGATCATATGTCCAAATTACAAAGTGCAATCCAAATTTATTTCCTTAATCAAAGAAACTAACATTATTTATTTATTTATTGATTGTGTCTTCTTCAGGATTGAGGATTGAGGATGATCAGAGTTTGGGTCTCCGTAACTCTAAGTTTGCAATGGTCCCCAAGTGCACTTCATCTGGACCATCTGCTATTCTCAACGTCCTGGCTGTAGCCCAGAGATGTGCTAGAACAGTGTCCCCTGATAACCCAGCTGCTCCATGCACTTGCATTGCCATGTCAATTACTTTCAGTGCCATATCTGGAGCTGCTACCTACATTCACATCAATTTCTTTCTTACTTCACCTACCATAACATGTTATCAAAAACTCCTCCTAAATACAATACAATACAATACTACCTTTGCCATTGCTATGGTACCACGAGCCTTTTTGTTCCCTAACCGATCAAGCTGGTCTGCAGCTTCCAGAACTAGCAATCTCGTTTTCTCCACTTCTATTCGGCACTACAAACATCACATCAAAAAAAACACATTTCAATCATCAACACTTTTTTTTTTATCCAGTCAATTGCTCTTCTTTTTAACCAGTCACCAACATACTCTGGCAACATCAGAACGGAATGAACCATGCTCAGCAATAAACTTTCCAAAAGCTCTTCTCTCACTAGCCCTCTGAACCATCATCCGCATACCACGTTCAGCTGCACCTATTAACCTCATGCAATGATGCAGCCTTCCAGGACCCAACCTACCCTGTAAGCAAATGCCAAATGGAAACGTGAAACACTGTTACACACATCCTGTGTTGACAAATTTTCAAAATGCTTTCCTGTGTAAAACATGTCCAGAGGAAGTATCAATCTGGGATTCAATAAAATATATATATATTTTTTTTTAAAAAAAAAAAACTGAAATTTGGTAGATCCAATTTTAGGTATGCAAAAAAGAATTAGTCTTCCACTAGATGGAATTGGTCTTGCACTTTTGACAGTACAGCTAGAATAGAAATTTAAGCTAGAGCTCAGAATAACTATTTGAACTCCTCAAGAGAATTGTTATCTTTACCTGTGCAATCTCAAACCCACGCCCCTCTCCAAGAAGAATGTTCTTCTCTGAGACACACACATTCTCAAACACTATTTCTGCATGCCCATGTGGTGCATCATCAAAACCAAACACTGTCAGTGGTCGCTTTATCTTTATACCTGGGGAGTTTATATCTACTAAAATCATGGATTGCTGCTTATGCATCGGAGCTGTTGGATCAGTTTTCCCCTGCAAGTGGATTAAATAAGCAGCAGCTGCCTTAAATTTTAAATCAGAGACAAAGGATTTCTCATGTTAATCAATTAAAAAGACAACTAACCATAACAATGAGAAGTTTGCACCTAGGATCCATGGCACCACTAGTCCACCATTTCTTTCCATTGATGATATATGAATCCCCAAGCCTATACAAAGCATACTTTTTCACATAAAGGAATCCATAAAACCACAACTAATTCTACATTTAAAAGTCAAAATGCTGGCAGTAGCCACAGAATAATTAGAACAACAAAATTTTCTTAATGTCTCATCCAAGGCTCTTTTAGCATTTAAAAGTGTAAAATCAAATTCAAAAGGCATCCGAACTTCTTAGATACAAATTTTCTTTTCACCGAAATCTTGACTTTTCCCTTTTCTGTTCTGCTATTATATTTCCAAGGCACAAACTATAAAACTTCTTTGATGATTGATGATTCTGAAGCAACCAAACTTAGCTCACAATTACAAGGGATGACAGTAAATTTTATCGCCACAGTGAATTATTATCAAAATTAAGCAACAAAAATTTTGCTTTTCTTTTAAAGGTGGGATTTTCACAGGTGGTAAAAATACTTTCCGAAATGAATTCTAACCATTGCTATATCGGCATAGTATCACTTTTACCTTTTTATGGAGCACTCTATATTGGTTGCATCTGAGGATGCAACTTGTGGTTCTGTCATCGCAAAGCCAGATCGTATCTTTCCCTCAAGCAAGGGAACAAGCCATTCCCTCATCTGTTCTGCATTCCCATATCGAAGTAATACCTAAAAACAATGAAACATTGATATTTAGTAATTATTACAAAATAACATCTAAAGGTAAGCAGTCAGACATGGATTACATGAATGCAATACACTTTAAAATACAAACCATATTAGCATGAGTGGAATCAACATGTGTTCAATTATAGAACTTTAAATATACAGGAAATGATAATCTAAACAATCCTCAACAAATATTCTCCATAATAGCCAGATTTTCACAATGTTGATTGTTGATCAGAAAAATGAGTGTCTGCAGGCAAGGTGTCACATTCAAGCAGCACAAGATTTTTTTATCTTTTATTTCCTTTACCTCCATATTTCCAGTATCAGGTGCCCCACAGTTGAAAATCTGTGGTGCCCAAATAGAACGACCCATTATCTCACAGAGATACCCATATTCTAGATTGGAGAGTCCTGCACCCAATAAGCAATCATATTTGCTGTTTGATGTAGTGTCACTGCTTTCTCCAAAAAGAAGTTTTCTTGCTCGAGCTGCACTATCAAACTGCACAAGTACATGAGGACGATAGTCAAACATCAGAAAAGTTGTTTCACTCTTTACTACAGATTTTGCCAGGTAAGGTTATTAACTTGTGATGAATTCCCTTCTACTTAATTTTTTTAAATTAGTGTGTTGCTTGTTCCTTGCTGTATAAACAAGAAGGAACTGAAAAGAAATGCATACAGGTATAAACAAGTTCCAAAGGCCTTCTCTTTTTGCCAGCTCTTTTAACTTTTCCTCATCCGGGTGAATTGTCCAACGCATGGTAGACTGAGCAAGTTTGTAGAATTCATTTTCCCTTGGGTATACGTGATGCTCCATAAACTTGATCAATCTGTCTCTCAAATCTTGAATTTTTTTATTAGGCACAAATTTGGCTCCAATGGGGAAGACAAGATTTTGACTTTCATGACCAGATTGTTGCATTCCATCTGATGCAATTGTCCCTGAATAGTAGAAAGCATACCAGCATTTTAAAAAGTACACTTGAACAGTTAGACTTACACATAGAGAAAATCAAACCTGCTCCATCATTATCATCATGTACTTTGTAAAGTTACACGACGGTAGAAGTCGAAATGTGTTAGGTACCGTAACTAATGTTTGGGGTGTTCAACACATTTTCAAGGATATCATACAAAGGAGAAAGTCTGTTACTATGGCATACTAGTTACCTGAAAACGTGAAGACTTGCTTTATAAAAAAAAAAAAAAAAATTAAAAATAAAAATTGCAGCAAGTAAACTGAAATTCATTATTTTAGAAGTATTACAGCGTGCCAGAGATTTTTAAGCATTTGAAAAGCTGTTTTCTGGTTTATTCTAATAATCTCCTTGAAATAACTATGGAAATAAGCTCAAAAACAACTTTTTAAAAGCCATAAGCTCTTTCCCATAAGCCTATCTAAACACAATTTAAAATAATAATAATTTTTTAAAAAAATCATAAATGCTTATAGCCAGTAGATAAGCTGAAAATCAGCTCAACGAAACCAAGTCAAAGGATGGTTGAAACGATAAACTCACATAAACTATTTTGAGCTTATCGAAAATCACTTCAAGTTGTTTATTCAAACTGGCTTAAGGCATTACTCCTTCCAAATATAAGTGATTATCAATAAACAAATAAAACTATCCCAGCATATATATGCAATAAGGGGATTGAGGTACGCTTAACAAGGCAATACACTAAGACATGCACCAACATACATGAAGTATTGAAGCACACAACATACCTAGTGGTACTTAGTCATGCAAAACCTATATGAACTGTTGAAGCACACACCATTTCTTTAGTTGTATATGGAACGTAACAAGTAGAATCTTATTTACCAGCTGGGAAATGTGGCGGGAGAACAGATTGTCTTCCAATATATGACCATGCAGTTCTAATGAAAGAATTAGCCCTCTCTCCAGCAAGTCTGGCACGTTCACCCCCCGAAGCATTACCCTATAACTCACATACAGAATGATATACAGATCATTAAGCTTGTTGCATAACATATTTTTTAGACCAGATCAATCACATGAGATACTGTCTCAGTTTTATATTACTTGACCTACTTTCCAATTTAACCAATATCAAAACAAGACTAACATGATTTTCAAATTCATCAACTTTTTCCATTAAGTTATACACTTAGAACTGAAACAACATCTTGAATAGGCTTCCCTCAACTAGATCTATCATTATCTGACATCTACTTATTAACTACTTACTTTCTGCCACATCAAAATAATAATTTAACACTACTTCCAACTAATCCCTATACAATACATTAGAACTTCTTGTCTCGAACAATATCCCTAGGCCAATATACGATGGAGTATATAATAATTGTTGAAAAACAATATTACCATGATCCATCTGTTATGTACACCTGCATAGATTGATGCTCCACGAAATAATGAAAATGCAATGTAGAACTTCCACTGTGTAGCAGGCCACTGCCTTCCCTGATATAAATAATTGGGCAAATGCAATCACGTCAAAAGCTAACAAGATTGAAGGCTACTAATCAAGTACCACTCCATATAAATTGCCAAGAGCTAATGTGCTTCAATACGAAAAGAAATCAGCCAATCACAGTGGGTCGGGGAAAAGAAAAAAACTGTAATTATCAATATTGGACTTACAGCTGCTGAACAATAATCTGCCAGGTATTCCACTAGAGAAGGAATGCCCTCAGGGAAACTTCTAAGTTCAAAACCATCATTCTCTTCTAGATTAATTGATGCAATATTGACAATATAGTGCTGGCAAGGAAGATAATGCCATAAGCAACTTCAGAATGTTCCTCAATAGAATTTGCAATAATCTCATGAACTGAAAGTTCTAGTCAGACGTATAAACTAAACATATTGCAAATTGAAAGAAGTACCAAGCAGCTGTAAGCAACATCACACATCTGATTACCAAGAGTGGAAAGTTCCCAATCAAGAATCCCAATGACTTTGTCCTGAGGTTCAGAAGAAAAGTCAGTCACATTTTTAGGCAAGCCAAAGAAAACTTAATACAACCATTCTAATAGCTAATTCACACTTTATATTTCACTGAATAGAATGTGTACATTTAAGTTTATATCTGAGATCATATATTAATATTAGGGAAAATTTGAAACACAAAAGCTTTCAAGAATTGCACCTCTATGGGATGGAACACAATATTATCAATTCGAAAGTCACCATGGACAAGACCTGCTGTTGCCCCAGAAGAATCTTCCAGGGGAATGTGCTTCTGCAACCAATCAGCCAGTTCCAACATTTTCTGATTTCTCTCAGACTTACCCTCACCAGTGGATAAAAGATACTGTTTGGCCCACCTCTCAACCTAAAGTAGGTTTAATAATTAATTAGCCAATTTGAGCATATAATTTGGAAATAACTTTACTCAAAACTTCATAGCAAATAGAGCAAAGGCAAACAAGAAGGTACAACAAAACAAATTAATCAGAAGTGCCCAAAAGTAGGGGCAATTATTTGTTATCACAAGAAGAATATTTGCAAAAGTTATATATTGACAAATACGAAAAACTGTTAGCTAGAATTGGCACACCTGTCGCTTACAGTAGTTATTCCGCTTCCCATAATTGCCTAGACCAATAGCATCAACATCAACTGAATGAATTGAGGCCAAAGCTTGGGCAGTTGCATGATATATTGCCTTTCTTTGTTTAGGTGGTAGATCCTTATATCAAAAGATTAATGAAGCATTGGTCAAACACTAGAATAAATTAATCTACAAATGGTATGACTATAATGTTATCCATGTGCTAAAGTTAAATCAATCTTTGATAAGGAGGTCGAAAAAAGTATAAAAGAGTTCAATAGTTCATACTGGGAGCTTGGGGTCAATAAAAATGCGCCCTTCCAAATACTCCATTATGTAAAATGGTGTTCCAATCACACTTGAGTCCGTACACAAACAGAAAACTTTAGGGACTGGCACCAGTGTACAAGTACCCAATGCATGCAGGACCTGTCATGTTAAGCGATTAAGTTTCAAATAAAATAAAACAAAAAGAATGATACTCCTATTCTTTACAAGCACAAAGCACCTCATATTCTCTCTCAACAGCATGAGCAGATTGAAGCAGTTCACCAGGAGGTTTCTTTCGTAATACATATTTCTTCACTTCAGTTCCTGAATGGACCTCAACGAGAAATGTAGGATTTGATTGGCCATGCCCAAACTACGTCACAAATGAATACTACATTAGAACGCCCATTAAATTTGAAAATTGAAAATTGAAACACCCATGTAGTAACCAGTATGTGTTTAAGCAGTAAGTGGAAGAGCAATTAAATCCCTAAACTTGGTTGCTTAAGCAGTAATCGAGTTGCAGTTGAGCGAGAAGAAAAATACCTGAGAAACGGAGAATTGAGATGGAGAAGGAGGGAAGCCATCGACATGGGCAGACAAGTAGCGGAGGAGGGCTTCTGTGTTAAAGCTCTGAGCCGGATCGACTTGGCCAACGAGATCGGAAGTTCGATGTGCCATGTCTCGGATGAAAATACAATCTTCGGAGTTCACAACCCAAGTATAGAGATCAATAGTCGCTGCCCGGTTTTTTGTTTGTTTGTTTTTTTTAATGTATATGTATATATGTATATTTTACAAGTTGGGAATTAAATATGTTATCGTTTAGTCCATAGTAAATATCACTAAATCATTTTTGTATCAGCCAAATATGGTAGAAAAGCAAATTGTCAAAAAAGGCTTGTCTAATAATAATAATAATTATTATTATTATTATTTAATAATTTTTTTGACGAGCGAAAGTAATTCATTATCTCTAAAAATATTGTGATCAAATTGTATAATTATAAGAACATGACTGCTTGTGCTTTCTCTACCAAAAAAAAATTGACTGTTTGTACTCCAATAAGGTGAAAAAGTATATATGAACAAATACTATAAATTTAATTGAAAAAACTTTAATAAAGATCATATTTCACAACCAATCATTCATTTATTGCAATGTTAGGAACCACCTAGGGCGCGCGAACACTTAGGCGGGTGCGCGCCTAGGAGGCCGACTACCTAGCGTTTATGCGCAATTTTTGCAACACTGATTTATTGAAATTGTTCTAAAAATGAGAAGAGAACCGCATCTCTTCCAAAAATAACAAACAAGAAAATCCTATATTCTCAATTATATTTGATCTTAATTATCTTACATTTGAACCAAACATCCCTAAAATTTATTTTACAAAATTGAATATGCATGTTAATTACTAATCCAATTTATCTGACTATGGGGTATTGTGGAGCTATTGGCATTTGAAACATTTTATACCAACCCAATAAATGGTTGGCCACATAATTTTACCCAATAAAATACCAAATCATCTTCAAGTTATAACTGAATACTTGACCAGAGTTCTCACATGTCTGAATACAAACTGCTGTTTATAATTAAGGTAAAATAGAAAAAGTCTCGACACTTGCTGGAGACCATGCCGTATGGTTACCCCCTTAAATAATGCACCATATCAATGCGTCACTCCCTGGCGTCTTCCAACGTTGAAGTGCACATCCAGGAGACCTGTTATCCCAGCTTCAACCTTTTGACCCACCTTTACGGGGCCAACACCTTCAGGGGTTCCTGTTAGAATTTATTTATTAAAAAAAAAAAACAAAACATATTATTCAATTTGTAGGCCTTTTTCATTTTGATAGAACGTAGCTTTGCTAGCTTTCTCACTCAAGAAGCATGTAATTCAGTTCATACCAGTCAAGATGACATCTCCCTCAGCAAGTGTCATAATACTACTTATGTGGCTAACTAAATACGGGATCTTGAATATCATATCCCTTGTAGAGCCTTTTTGCCGAATTTCTCCATCAACCTGCAAAGTAGCCATAACTTTTAACACAAGTATCAACATTTTTGGCATGATAGGTCTACAATGAACATAAATACCTTCAACCATAATTCTACATCATGAGGGTCTGGCACCATTGAACAAGGTAACTGCACAAACCACAAACTGCCACATTTAAATAATAAATCACACACAAAAACTATATAATTGAAGACACACAGCACTAAGAATACATCAATACAGGAAATACCTAGAGCAGTAGCAGATATCTATATTTGCATTGAAAATACTAAGGATGAAACAACAGAATAAAATGTCAAAAACGATGCAAATATCTTCCTCTGTTCATAGACCTATTCTTGCATGTTTATCAAAGATTCATCCCCTCTTAGGATATTCTTTCCACATAATTCATTAGGAATCATCCATCTTAGTAAGCAAGCAAGCATAAATAAATATAAAAATCTCCAATAAATATGTCGGAAAGGAAGGAAAATATTTCTATTAAATATTTCAAAAGTATTAAATTGTGAAAAAAATTAGTTAGTGGTGTACATTCTACAAATAATCCAATATTTGGGGCAAAAAATAGTCCAGACAACTACAATGCCCTAATTCGCTAATTTAACAAGTAGCCAACTACAGACATGTGTGATTGAATCAGATCTTCAAAAAGAATTGGACATAGAACAATTAAAAAATGGAGCCATTTCTTACAATAGAGCTGATTGGCGTGAAAGTGTCTTGGCCTTTAGCTACAGTCCATGGCAGACCTGCAGACTGGAATGTGGAATCAAAAGGGGAAGCAGAAAATAACATATATAAACATTTCAAACTGACAATATTGCGAGAAGATCAAAAGTTTGTGGAAGAGCACAGAATAAAATTTCCCTAAACAAAGAAAATCAAACATTTAAAGGTGGCATCATATATTAGAAGCTATTTAACAAGATGTAGCAAATCTGCACCTTTGCAGCAGATTGGATTTCCCTTGCAGTCATATCCAATGCAACAGCATAGCCTGAAAAACAGAATCTTCAACAAGTCAAATGGAAGCCAACACAACATTGTCAATCTGATTCTATGTCATTAAAAGCATTGACACCACTGAATTACAATGCTGGCTCGCCACTGATGTCAAAACCTCAACTGATTGTCTGACACTAGACTAGATAATAGATAGAAATCAACATCTCAGCATTTAAAATGAGGGGAAAAAAAAAACATAGTTGGCAATGCATTTCAAAACGTTATATTACAAAACAAAGCTCAAATTCAAGGATACAAAATTTAGAAAATGTTAAAAACTTTAAGCTACAATACCTCCAATATAATCCATGGCACTACCGGGGGTGACATCCCTAGCTCTTTGGCCGATCACCACCGCCAGCTCTACCTCGTGATGCAGCGTTTCCAAGGATTGTGGAATCTCGATCGTACCTCCATTTTGCAAATACGACGTAGTCGGTTTCAGAAACAACACAGGCTCCTACAAGTAAACACAAGACGCATATCAAATGCACACTCCACACATATAGAATAAAGGGGGGAGAGAGAGGACTTTGGGGATGGAGTTGCCGAGTTCTTTGGCGTGAGCGGCGAAGTTGCGGCCGACGCCGATGATTTTAGTGCCAACGGTGAGCAACTTCTGACACGCAGACGCAGCTGTTGCCATCTTCCTACTTGACGTTCGTGCCAAGACTAAATTACAAATCGGCGTTGTTCTGTACATATGCGAATACATCTCTGTGTATTTGATTTGAACGGTGTGAGCCACCACGAATCTGAGAGTGAGAATCTGGGATGAGTTTGAAGGAACTGTCTCGCACTCCAAGATCTGGGCCAAATAGACCCATCTGTGCCCATACCTTGGGCCCAAAACTATCATTACAAAATTTTCTACTACCAATTCGCTATAACTAAGCCCAATCACCGTAAACAAATAGAAAAATGTAGAAAAAAAATATTAATTTGGCACTTAAGTTATTATTGAGACGTGACCACGGTTAGATTTTGTTCTGAAAAATTGAAATGGGCGGTTTAAAGTTTTTTTTTTTAATTCTATTTTTTATTTTTAAAATAATTCAAATTCAACAATTAATTTCTTTTTTGAAAATTTTCATTCTAAAAAATCTTTTTAATAACTTTAAAAAGTGCAATTAAACAACTACCATTAAAAATTCCAACTGTTGGAAAAGACCACTAGATCTAATCGTCTTTAATAACTATAAAATGACCGACCAATCAAAGACAACCAGTCACCATCTTTAGTGGAGAAGAAGGCTGATCTAGTCATCTTTTCCAAAAAAAAAAAACGAACAATAACATAATTTTATTAACTCTTATTAATATAGTAATAGTACAGTAGATATAACAAAAGTTAATATTATTTTTAGTGAAGTGATACTCGGTGAATATAATTCCAATGTGTATGAACACTTTGTGAGGTCTGCATAACTGTATTACGGAGTATTATTATTAGTATTCCTAGCCTATGCTGCTGCATCTGCATCTTCATCAGAGTCCTCCACTATCCTGGTTTTGGATCTCTTGGCCTTGTAAAGGACAGCTTCTTCATCTTCTGAATCCTCCGCAGCTTCTTCATCTTCTGAATCCTCCTTCTCCTTCTCCTTCTCCTCCCCCGCAGCTTCTTCATCTTCATTTTCTTCAACGGATGATGATTCCCTCTTGTCACCAACAACTGCAGCATCATCATTACTACTACCTGCAGCAGGCTCCAGTAGTATTTTGAAATCCCTGCAAGTGCTACGCTTTGCATGCCTCAGCAAATTCACTTTGCTTGCCTTGCTAAGCTGGATAAGGTATTTTTCGTAATCTTCTATCTGGTAGATCAACTCAGGGATGCATCTGTTTTCCCTTTTTATCTTGTTCACCATTCCTCTACCCCCCGCACCCTCTTGTTGTTTCTTCCAAAAAAAAAAAAAAAACCCCATCATCAACACCTACTTTACATACAAACACACAGTGTACTGTACTGTATTTCTTTCTTTACCTTTTGCATATTTGCTACAAAATTGTATATTGGAGCTGTTAGCTGCCTGCAAGTTGCTTCTACCAGCTTCTGGTACTTGAGGCTGGGTAAGAGTTGCTTGCAGCCTTTCGAAGCGACTTGGAGCTTTGATATTCGAGCTAAATTCTTGTAAAACCTTGCTGCCAATCTCAACAACTGTTCTGCCTGGGGATCTGTCATTTGTTTCAATTCTCCAGTGTTAATAACTTCTACTCTAGTAATAACTATGATAAAATTTATAGGGGGTAGGCTTACCCTTGAGATTCATCAATACAAAAAAGGATGCCACCTTTACAACACCTTCTGCTCTTGAATATAGACTTTCTTCCATAACCAATTCTGAAGCCTTTTCACAACGTTGATGACTACAACTAGAACTACTACTGCCTTTGTGATATGAACAAGAGCTTGCCTTCAACTTCATGCTGCTCATCCATTCAATACTTGATTCAAGAAATTGCAGTATTGTTGAAGCAATAGCAGCACTAGTAGATTTGTTTATAATAGAATAAGTGTCTGATGTCTCTTCTGGATCACAATCCTCTTTCCCTACAACTTTTAACACCTCTGCAGCCATGTCTTGGGCAATAATCAAGTCATTCGGTGGTGAGCTTAAAGACAAAGCAAGGTTGATAATACTCTTGGCAACCTTGGGATTTGTTACATTTCTGCTTTTACAAATGCACCTTGCCAAATTGCCAACAACATCCCTCCCCTCTTCACCCAATTTACTGCCAATTAAACTTACTATATCTGACACTACCTGAAAATTTGGATAGATAGATATAGAATAAATCAGGTAAATAATCAGACTGTACACTAAAGCTTTACTCATTAATTACTACTCGACTTACCTCAACTTCCCGGAAGAAAGAATGTGCAAGTAGCTCATTTAGCAAGACCCATATACTCTTTCTAATGAATACCTCATCACTCCTCATGTTGTGATCAAGGAGCCCATTAGCCCGTTCATACTCATTATCTGATCCATCACTTCTTGGTTCAGAGATGGACACCAGATCATCCATTAAATCCAAATATCCAGGGTCACACAGATTTATTTTTATCAATTCTTTCAAGCACACTAGTAAAGTGTAGATATGTTCCTTCTTGTAATCAATATCTTTTCTACCACTGGCATCCTTCTTGTTAACTTTGTTAGATTTTGATGCTGACAAGAGAAACCAAATCATCTTGAGCAGTGGCAGTCCCAACTGTTTGATATCACCGTAAATCAACATCTTTAGTGGATTCTCTTTTGCCATACAACTGTAAGATTTCAACTGGCGCCAACAAATATCTAACACAAAAGGAAAAATGTTAGCAAATGGAGCCGAAGCCTTTCCAGAGGATAACTGGCTACGATCCTGGGAGGCCACATTGCTGTCAATGCCAACAGACTTCCATGATTCTTGTGCAGTATGCAATAGCTGACAGATGGCTGAGGTTGCCAATAATGGAATTCTTTCCTCAGACAATATAGTGCTACTTAAATCAATCCTTTCGGAGACATCATTAGCAGTAAGGCGTAGGAAGCCTCTTTTCACACCACCACTCTGCTTAGCAATATTCACATTTTTCCCCAACCACTCATGAATGCTAACAAACTCAAACAATTCTTTCTCCAAATCTATCTTTTTTGCATCAGTTGCTTTTCCAAACTCAGTGATAATGATATTCAGCATTACTTCAATGATCCCAGACCAAATCAAAGAATAGCATCTGTGTTTTTCTTCTCCTGGAGGTGCAGACCCAGCATCCATACTTTTACTCAGTAAGCCTGATTTTAACATGGAAAAATGCCATCAAGAATTAGTTCTTGTGTATATCGACTTATCTTAGCACAGTATTGTTTAAAAGAGGAAACAAAACTCGAAATTTAAAACTCATTGATATGCTTGCAAATGTAATCTGCCCCCTTACTATAGCTGCTTAGCAAGAAATACAGTAACAAGAATTAAATCGTGATATAATTAGTCTGTATAGACCTTCCAAGTCTCCCTTTCTCAGAAACTTTCGGATCTTTGATAATGAATTGGATAATGACTCCGCAGACCGTGTTCTTCCAGCCTGCTGAAATTTGAGATCAGAACAAAACAAATATGTGACCATGAACACACTGTACCAATGGAGATCATTAATTTATAATTAATACTACCTCGTTCTCTTGTGTTAGAGAGAAGCCAAAGGAAGTCCACGAATCTGAAGAATGGTCAGTTTTTCCATGCTGCTGAAGAAGAAGAATCCAAGAAATGCAAGAAAGAAGGCAATCCAGTGGCTCTTCAATATAAATTTTCCCACTCTCAGATTTAACACATTGACTGACACTCAGCTGAACCTCAGCATCCTGACTAGTGAGAACACAATACATCAAGGCGGCCATCAAGAAAAAAGGAGCATTGACCCAAGTTGTTTCCAGATAAAGTGTAGTTGGTTTAATTTTCAGTTCGGCAGTAAGCAAAAATAATGTACATACAATTTTATCCATAGTTACCTCTTTGTAAAACTGAAAGAAGTGAGGCAATAGAAAATCAAGAACAGCCCCAGCAGATAAAGGATCCACCAAAACAAGCTTTAGTAGTCCATAGTAAAGGATTTCCCTGACTTTTGCCTAAAAGAAAATAATTAACCTGAAGTTTCAATACTCCCAGCTGACAGGAAACTGGTGATTCATGATATTGATTTAGGGAAATTAAAATCTAAACCTGCTGATAAAGGCATCTCTGCAGCAACCCATTGAGCTCCAAGAAAAGGCCACATCCAGCTGCACAGAGATTTTCAGCCTGCTGGCTACAACTAGCTTGACTGCTTGATTCTTGTAAGGAAAATGTGTCATCTCTTTGAGATTGTTTTTCTCCCAATACCAAATCAAGAATGGAATGGATTGCTGCATAACGAACTGGATCCTCTCTTCTGAACATAGCTTTACGCAAGACCAGAATGATATAATCCTGTGCCATTGATAAGCTATCAGTAGCAAAAGATGAAAGAATGATGACATAACTCTTAAGTATTACTCCCACTATCCCATATTAGGATTTACTGGCCCTCCTTTCTTTCTGAAAATCAGCCTGACCAAATTCTAGAGTGACTTTATACTATTAATTCAGTTTCTGATAGTAACAATTAATGATTTAGAAGCTACACAAAACTAATAAAAGTCAAATCACGATGCTAAAGATAAAAATGAAACATTGGCATATTCTGTGAGACAGACAGAAAATTCATTTAATTGGTGCATGCAATTATGAGTGAATACCTGGAGATCATGACTTTGTTTGATGAGAGGCAAAAGGGCAGTAACCAGATGAGAAGAGACCTTGCCATTCATGAATGTAAAATAATCCATTAATGCCTTTAGATGTGAAACATGTTCCAACATCGGATATGAATATCTCCGGATTAGACAACCAAGTAGTCTATAAAAAAAATTAAAAAAAAAAAAAAAAAAAAATGAACACTATAATCAACAATGACAAAATGTTAAGAATTTAACTAACAATCACAATCACCTTACGATGGGAAGGCCTTGTTCAGGCTTCAATGAAAGAACTCGAAGTTTGCATTGCTCAATTATCTGCAACAAATCAACTAGTTCATAGCTCAATGATCTAGGCATATCTAATTCTTTTTATCATCAATACACAACACAAGCACATTAAGTGGCCATTCTATGGGTCAAGTATGTGAGAATGAAGAAATATTCCTTGAAAGAAAGCACAATTTAAGATGGTGCCCATAAATGCAGATATCGATACCCACCTCATTTCTAGCCATATCATGAACTTCAAATAATCTTCTGAGCACCTGAGCACCTAGTTCCTCAGGACCTAAAATGCCATCTAACTTATCAAATTCTTTATGGCTTCCTTCTTCTACTCCTTCAAGCAGTAAAAATCCAAGTTGTACAATGCTTGGCACCACATGCTCTCTTCCAAGGTTGCTGTCATTAACCTGCAAAGAAGAAAACAAGTGGTCTACTATGATTCCAGACAGAGAGTGAAAACTTTAAGAAAAACTGCTATTGAGTTTATCCGAAAAAGTGAAAGCATGATGCAATCGGATGGCAAATGTTAAATCATAAAGACTTGAAGCTTCATCAGACATCAAAGAAAATGAGGAAATCAAAATTGACATGAATAAGGTACAGCACATAACTCTAATTTAATCATAATTTTTACTCTTACACCATATCACTATTCACTACTGACAGTAATTTTTTAAGAAATTCTCCTTCCTGATCAAAAAACCAAGGATCACTGCTTAAAAGGATAGGAAAATGTTCAGGCACAAGTCATTGCAATCTGTTTTAAACCTTTCACGTATTGGAGAAATATGCCAAGGAATGCATGTCCAGTATATGCACAAAAAAAAGCAAAGAGCATTTACAGTTCCTAGCAGTGCTTTCTCCATCATTCTGGCTGTGTTTAGATACTCTTCCTTTAAGTCACCTGATAGCCATTTGCAATCCCTGAAATATAAGCACAAATTACAATACAAGACTGGAATCAATCATATGATGAAAAAACACATGTAATCCCAACTAGTATTGCCATTTCAACAGGAGCTTAATGGTGGCATCAAGGTACCATCCATTCAATATGATTTCCACAATCCTGTTGTTAATACAAACATCTTTGACAGCTAAGATAAGAAGTTCAGCTTCCATCAATTGTTAAAACTTCATAACATGTTTGCACAAGATCTATCTAAACATGAATTCCAGTTCAACTGAAGGTAATGTGAACAAGATTTAGGAAGTTGATAAGTATAACAAAGTTGATCTCACTCTGTTAAACCGGAAAAAATTGACAAAAGAATAGTGCATTACTTGGTTATTTTGTATGTTTGAGAGGAGGTTACAAGAATAGTGTCTTCACTGGCGTAAACAATATGGAGTATAAACAATTTAGGGGAACAAATGCAGTAACACTTACTGAGCTAAGCTTGAGTCTTTATAAGCAGCAAACAATGCTGTTTTAAGGACTCCAATCGTGCTCTCAGTGAACCTCCTAATCCTAGCAACTGACAACAAAACTGTAACAGCAAAATGGTTAAACGCAGGACAATACGATCTGACAAGCCCCAAAATCTCTTGCCCCAATGAAGGGTCCTGTTTAACTGCAAAGTTGACATGAAGCAACACAGTCCCCTCTACTTGCCTCACTGTAGAGCCACCCTTTCCTGCCAAATTCTCCCCAAAATACATCACAATGCCTTCAATTACTTTCCTCTTCCCGAACCCTTTTGATGCTAAAACCAGCAATTGATAAACGAGCCCTGGCAAGTCCTGCAGCTCCACTTTCTCCATTCCACTAAACACTTTCTCCAAAATTTTCTCCTTCTTAATTCTATCAAGAAAGGAAAAATCGCGCAGAATTTCCACAATTTTCACCAGAAAAGCATTACTCCAATTGAAATTAAGCATTCTATCTATAGCAGAATTAAAATAATCGATAGGTTTATCTATTTCTGTGGACGTTCTAATCACTTGAAGACACTTGGAGAGAAAAATTAGAATGTGGGTATCTTCGGAATCCGTAATTTGATGGATATAGCAGAGAATTGTGTCGAGAATAGAGCCCAAATCTGGAGATGAGACGGAGTCGAGGTGGGTGGTGAAGAGCTGGAGAGTGGAAAGGGAATGACAGTCATGGGGAATTTTGTGGGAACAGAAAAGAGAGGTGTAGGAAAGGATGAGGGAGGATGTTAGAGATAGGAGAGAAGGATGGAGGTGGGTCAGAGAGAGAAGGGCGGAGGCATACTCAGCGACGGCTAATGATGAGTCAGGAGAGGCGGCGCGTGCGTGAAGGTAGGAGAGTAGCGTATCGTGCGAAGCTTCGCTAAGGAGGAACTGAGGGAGGGGAGTAGAGGACTGGGGGTGGTATAGTTGGGCTAGCTGGATTATATCTGTATCCGTAAGCGGCGGCAGGGAGGTTTGTGGGTGGCTAAAGGCGGAGGAGGGGGAGGCGTTTCGAGTTGTGGTGGTTGTCATGATGCTTTAGGTCTGGTACGGTGGCTAGCGAATGAAGGAAGAAGAAGAAAGGGTTTGGATTTTAAATTGCGCATCGCATAGCATTGCGCGGGAAATAATTAAGCCCGCAATTTTTCTCTCCCCAATCCACATCCTTAATTTTTTTTTGAGGGGGGAAAATAAGGATTGCATTAATAATCAACCATCGACGAAATACAGGTTTGGAATAGAGAATCACGAACTTAAAGCGGACATAGAATTAGTAGTCCGCGCAAATACATAAGTAACATGATTCGCTGATCTATTGACATAACCGTCCCAATGTCCCTAACAATAGTATAACATTACTTAACAACAAGTCCAACATAAGAAAGGTCGGAAAACCAATAATTAAAAGTCGAATAGAAATTAAGACAATCGGACTCCAAAATAATATCATGAATGTGATGAGTCTTCAACCAATAGAGCGCTTCTCTAACTGCCATAGTTTCAGCCATATAAGGATCACGATCACATTTGAGTCTGACACTGCAAGGCGCAACAAATTTCCCATTAACATCAAACTTTATCTAATAAGTCAATTAGATATCTAAACATTTTAAAGTAACAATTAAATCCATCAACATTATATTTTGATGCAATCAAGAGTTAAAAAATCGAACAATGACCTGATATGATAGGTCGGTCAACATTCTGATCAACTCCGATAATTTTTCAAATAATAAAGTGACTTGGTGGTCGTTCTATTCACAGGAGGTTGTCTTCTCACTGAGAAGGCGGCCTATTATTTATACAAATTTTTTTATTCTTTATTTATTTTTAATTGTAAATCTTCTCATTATTATTTATACAAATTTTTTTATTCTTTATTTATTTTTAATTGTAAATCTTCTCATTATTATTTATACAAATTTTTTTATTCTTTATTTATTTTTAATTGTAAATCTTCTCATTATTATTTATACAAATTTTTTTATTCTTTATTTATTTTTAATTGTAAATCTTCTCATTTTACATACTGATGGATAAAATTTACATGGGCTAAGAGTGTTGTATTGAGACTTGTGTAATACAAGAGAATGATGTCTTAATGGGATAATTAGCAACAATTTATACCAAACTTGCTCCTAACTACCTCAACAAAAAAAAAAAAAAAAAAAAAAAAAAAAAAAAAAAAAGAGCATGACCAAATTTGACCGCAACCCATACTTCCCCGCCTAAGGTCGAACATAGGGACGGAGCCAAAGGGGGGGCAGCTGCCCCCCTCACCCCACCACATCCCATATATAATCTTTGTATGTATATATAGTACATGTTTTAGTACTAGTACAAAAAAACTATTAAATGATAACAAGGAATGAGTTAGATTAGTTGGTAGAGCACATGTTTAATAATAGTAAAGGTTGAGGGTTCAAATCCTTTGGCATCAACATAGTTTTACAGTTTTTGTACTCTTTCCCCTATAGGCTATAGCTTCAACACAGTCACAGTCACGTTTTTAATAGCTTTTTATTATGTGTTTTATATTCAAATTATTTTATCAAATTAATTATGTACGTTTTTAATAGCTTTTTATAATGTATTGTCTATTCAAATTATTTTATCAAATTAATTATGTTTCATATTTTGTTATAAATATTTTTATAAAGTTTCGATGTGTTTTATTTTTTTGTCCATATCCAACAATATTTACAAATATATTTCATAGGTAATTTATTTTTTATTTTTTAAATTATTTATTTCGTTTTAATGTTTTGTTTTTACTGGAAAAAAATTATGAATTCGTCCTTACTTTTTCGCCCCTCAACCGATTTTTTAACTCCATCCCGAGTCGAACACCCAACTTGACCTCAGTGGCCAAGCACTAGACTGGACCACCAGAGCTTAGCGCTGAGATTGGCCCCAAGACTAATTGAGTCTACTCCACTGGGTTGATTCGTTCTAGATTCATTTATATTATATCCATCACATACTCTGTATCATAAAAACAAATCATTGTAGAATAACATGCACGCTAATTATGTGAGCTATTTATTATAAATTGTGTACAAGGTTTTATACAAGTCGCGTGCTCAACCGAATAAGGATAGCAGAGTTTAGTTTGATCTCCACAGCAATATCTTTCTGTGGCTCCCCTAGTCCCCTGCACCACATGATTGATATGTTCCCAATCATGTCCAAATTAGCATCCAAATTAAGCCTTCTAATGAAGCCATGACATTAATAATTAGAATTTATCAAATATAATATACATAAATCCAACCAGCCAGAGATGACTTCCCTATTAATGCACTTCAACCGTAGCACAAATTCAAATAATAGCATTGATTTTGAAAAAAGAAAATGGAAGCAGACTTTGATACGGAGTATATGCTATGCTATACACGGCACAACTCAACTCTAAACCCAGTTTATGAATGGAATCATGATTGTTATAAAAGCCATAACTTGGCACAACATTAATCAGGCCGGCATCTTCCTCCCATAGGAGAATTTGTCAAACTATGACAAAGTTTATAATTGTCCTAGCAAATTACAGCATGCCTAAACTCCACGGGGAAAATTTGATTTAATAGTAGAATATTTTGAAGTTTCTTATTCATTGCATGTCTCAAAGATTTAATCTTTATGCGGATGGGGATCGAGGAAGTTGGCAACACGCTCTGCCTTAGCTCCTGACTTATGATCATAGTACTCGACAGCAGCAGCCCCAGCCAAAGCCGCAAGTGTGAGTGCTTGAGCATGCAACCTGCAGATTGAAGCAAAGACGGCTCATTAGAGCATTGATGAGAAAGGCAGCTACACAGATTATTATTATTATTATTATTATTATTTTTAATTGCAATTACCAATTCCACTAGCACCCATAGATACAACTAACAAACTAGAGGGACTGTTAACATACTTTCTTGGTTAAAGATAAATTCTCATTGCATGGAAGCATTCAACCACCCTATTTATCAGGAAAAATGTGCATGCTAGTGATGTCAAAGGACAATCAAGCACACACACATTCTACTTCCCAAGGTTGAGGTAAACCACACACATATATGGAATAACAAGAGCATATATGCATAATGAAGGTTGCCAACCGGCTGCATAGATGTTCACATATCTCCACCAAATAAATTCCTAATTTAGCAACTTCATCTTCTTTCTATGCACAATACTTAGCAAAACAAAGGAAAGCCACTTCACTAGGATCTTTATAGCAGAACAAACAGACAACATATTAGTCAGATTATAACCCATGTGCTTGGTAAAAAAGATTGCCTGAATTAAAGAAATTCATCCATTTCATGAATGCAAACTCCAATATTTAAAGCTGATTGCAAATCCAATTCAGCAATACAGGCATGTCGTTATTTATATTTACTATGCTAATTGGGAAGAAAATAACATAAAAATCAGGAAAAAAAATTGTATGTACAGAATTCAGGCCTAAAAGCAAAGTTGTTTGTTTTCGATGAAAAGGTAAAAGAACGGTATGTTGGGAATTTGAAACCCTTTCTTCACTTTGCCTTAATTTTCTGGTTTTCCCCGTACAGGAAACGGGATACATACCTAGCGTGAATGATCTTAACACTGGTTTTCATATTAGGTTGTGACCAATTGTATGCAAACGAACCCGCTATTCCACTCAGCCATAAACAACCTTCAACAGCAATTCAATCCATAGCCCAACATCAGGGATCAGGAAAAAAACACAGGAAATCTGAATCAGAATATATATATAACGAAATCGAGATTATTACCAACAGTTCTAAGCTTGTGCTCAACGACCCATTCCCTCAGAGACTCCATGGTGCTTTGCTTCTCCGCCATTCTTATTCCTTATTTAGTTTTGTTTTAGCGTTTATTGTTTGTATCCTTGGTATTGGATGAAATTTTTTCTAAAATCTGGAATCCAGTCTGAGTATTTAACTATTTATAGTTGGAGGTTCTCCATTACAAATCAAAATCCGTGGGCTACGATTCCGAAGAAGCAAATTACAGCCGACAGATCTGCACGCGTTCGGGTAGTAAGTATTTGCTTTTGACTAGTATTTCCGCCTTCACTAACCACCGGTCCACCGCCTTCAATTGGGCTTCTCCCAAACGCCCAGTCAGGAGAATGGGTTCACAACCCATGGCCAGGACTATATTAAAAATCGTCAATAGTTATACCATGACCCGGTCCATCTTGCAGGTAAATTATGCTGTGGACTCGGATTCACGTAATAATTTGATAAATTATTATGTAGACTATTATTATTATTATTATTATTATTATTATTATTATTATTATTATTATTATTATCATTATCATTATTATTAAATTAGCAATATGGCTTCAACCAACGACAATATTGCTACTTCATTATGGGATGCTAGATTATGATCATGCTAATAGTTTTATTTTAAAAAATGTTTACTTTTTTTTTGGAAGACGAAATGTTAAATTTTAATATGTAAACAAACTAATTTAAATTTTATGAAGATGTCATTTTTAGTCTTTTTACATTTATCAGCTTATCAAAAAGCTAATTTTACAAAACACTTTCAATCATAACGGCTCTGTTTGGCAGAGCTTATTTAGGAGCTTATAGCTTATTTTAAGCTACTAATAAGCTATAAGCTCTGTTTGTTAATGTTCCCAAAACAAGCTCCTAGCTTAAAATAAGAGCTTATTTTGGAACGCTACCTAAGGTAGCGTTTCAAAATAAGCTCCTAGCTTCCTAACTATTTTCCCATCTTTATCCTTATTATTTTAAATAAATTACATAATTTACGCTTCCCAATTAAAACTTTTTCTCTTCTCCTTTATTCGCAACTTTCACCGCAAATATTATTATTATTATTATTATTATTATTATTATTATTATTATCATTATTATTATTATTATTATTATTATTATTATTATGAGATTTGCAACAATATAGATGTTAGATCATGATTATGCTAATAGTTTTATTTTAAAATGTTAAAAAAAAAATTTTAAGACAAAATGTTAAATTTTAATATGTAACAAACTAATTTAACTTTTATGAAGATGTCCTTTTTAATCTTTTTACATTTATCAGCTTATCAAAAAGCTAATTTTACCAAACACTTTTAATCATAACAGCTCTTCAGTTTTCAGCTCTGAACTTATAGCTGTTCAGCTTTCAGCTCCTTTTCAGCTAGGTTTGCCAAACAGAGCCAACAGCTAACTTAACAGCTCTTCAATTTTCAGCTCCGAGCTTATAGCTTTTCAGCTTTCAACTCCTTTTCAGCTATCAGCTCATAGCTTATAGCTTTTCAGTTAGGTTTGCCAAACAGAGCCTATGATACACAAAATTTTATGTAATTTATAACAAAAAATATATTTTAATATATTAAAAGTATATTATTTGTATATTAAATTTATATTATTTGATAGCATGGTCCACACAACTGTGTGAACTATAATAATTAAAAAATTATTATGTGGACAATTGTGTTGTGTGGACTATAAAAAAAATACATTTTTGTAATATATTAAAATTATATTATTTATGTATTGAATATACATTATATAAAATAATGTAATTTTTTTAAATACAATATACATTTTTAATATATTAATGGAGTGTTTGGTTCATAGGATTTTGAATTATTTCAAGTAATAGAATCACCACTCGAAAGGTAATATAAGATTTTGAGAAAGTAAGATTAGCCTATGATATCAAAGGTGATTGAGCGTATAGTTGTGACCTTTCAAATGAGAATACCCGAGATGAAAAAGTACATTTTGTTGTCCACCACAATTAACTTTCACAGAGATACTTTCAACATAGATTCCCGTTAAAAGCTGCAGCCTTTCTGCGAATTACCTTTTGTATTTGCATTGAGAAATATTTAGAGATTGAATTGCAAGGGAAATCGCAGCTGCTATATCATGGCAATCTCTCTGATGACTGCAAAAAGAGTTCAGCCACGTGTGAATGAATACCTCAAAAAATTGATGATTTTTATTGCATAATTTGCAAAGCTTTTGATTCATTAACGAAATAGTGGAGAGGAGCACATTATACAGTCAGCTATTTGTAAGCTGCATGAGAAGATTATCAAATGATGTATATTCACCTCTATCGCACCTGTCTGTCACTCATGGGAAGAAATTTTAATTTAGTGGAGTAAAAGGGTTTCTGTAAGGATGATATTTTCAAGTGCGCACATTGAGAATGACCAAGCCATTTGCAGCCACCTTAAGGTAATTCTCTTATTCTCTTCCTTTAAGACTTAGATAATTCATTTGATCTGTACATTATGAAAATGAATAAATCTATGCTAGCAGTATATGTAGCTGACTTGGATCCTTGTTGTGTCTGTGATCCTTCTAGAGGGGAATCCAACCCTGTAATATTTTAGACAGAGAGATAGTGAGAGATCACAACATAATAATGAATGTAAAAGAAATTGATCTAGACATTTGAATAAACAGACCTTTATCATTCCAGTTTCCGTGCCACACAGAATCATGTCATTTGCTGAGAGCAGGCTTGTTATTTTACTACCTGCTGATAACCTCCCAACCTTATGCTGAGTTCCTCTCAGCCAAATCTGATTGGTTTTTGGTACTCATGGGTCAGAATGTACAACCCTCTAGACAACTGTGAAGTCAATTTTGAAAATTTCCTTGGAAAATATGTTAATTACCTGAAGGCTGCTTTTTGATGCACTGGATACGAAGTATATGAAATCCTCCACTATTTCCATTGCCGATACATTTGCGCCCTTTTCTGGCATTACTGATAACTGTGGCTTGTTATTTCTTTTCCATTCCTGCATTTTTTTAGTCTAAGTCAGTGAATCCAACAATAGAGTAACCTACATTGATACAGTTCATGTTACCTTAATATGTGAACCTTCAACATTTGCAATTGCACAGTACAGCCAGTCCTTGTACACAAAAATTGAATTCACAGTCTTGTTTCTCCACCTCCATCTATTTGATGGTGCTTTGATTTCTTGCTGTCTGCTGGTTGTTATAGCTAACTCCTGGATTCGTTAATATAATATTACTCTTTCAATTTTTAGTTGCTAAATGAGTTTTTCTTTGGCAAGATATATGTACTAACCTGTATGCTTGAATCCGTGCATCCTACATAGAGCTTTCCCTGTGCTGCTGTTGCAAAACTCACTGATTTATTCTTGAAGACTCTTCTGAATTTTCTCGAAACATCAAACAGCTGCCAATAGTTTCATTTCTGAAGGTAATGAGCCACTATAAATGTTCACCTAGCGACATCAATCTTGCTTCTAATATTACCTTCAATTTGTTGCTATGGGTTATAATAAAAATCACATCCCCGTGAGTGCTGATACGGCGAATTGAATCCTTTGTTACTATTGTCTCAATACATTCAATATTCACTTGGACCATTTGCCAAACCTACAGTTGAAAGGGGAAACAAATTTGAAGGATGAAAAGGAGACCTCTGGGGAGATAACAAATTTCACCTTTATGGTTTCAACCAGTTACAGTGAAATGCCATGACTCTGTTCTTCCATGTTGAGTTACCTTTATTCTTTTGTCAGAGGATCCACTTAGAAGGCAATTCCCAGGCTCAAAGAGTGAAAAGCATGTGACTGCCCTTTTGTGCTCCTTCATAACCTGTACAAGTGAGGCTGTTTGTCCCTTGATGTCCCAAACCTAAGATGTGAGACATTTGTCAGTTGAGTTTTATAATTAAAGGAAACAAGCCTAGTTTTTCTAGGGACCTTATCCCTCATTCTAATATAATACAGAGTAATAATAAAGAGCAAACTGACTCTTATCAAACTCACACTTGTTGTAACCTAACTTGGTAAGAGATTTATCTTGTAGCATTATTTAGTCAAAAACTATTTGGAAGTGATGAAGTAGGTTGTAGTACAGCACCTTAATTGAACCATCTGCATGTCCACTGAAGAGATGCCCTTTATAGTAGATGAGGGCAGTCACGGCTCCACTTTGACTCTGACACACTTCAAGAATCTGAGTGTGAACGCATGATATTCGCTGCTTTGACATTTTAGTAAAAATGCTAGTTAACAGATAACAATGTTTATCAATTATATCAAATACAAATGAATGTGTGTGTTACTATATATTCATGATGTACTCTATTTTTAATTTTTATAGATATGGAACTTGGAAGTTGTTATTTACCTTATGCAATGATTTCACTATTTTTTCACTCTTTCCTTGTATCTCTTTTACTTGTGTGTTTTCTGGTTTACATAATAAGGTTTGCACTACTTGTAACTTGAGTTTCTCCTATCGAACTGTGTGTTTATGGTAGTTTGGTGGTCAAGAGATACCATTAAGTGAGCAAAATACTTAACTGTATCTTTTAGCCGATTAGTATGGTATTTGTCATAGAGTTCTATTGGGTCTATTTACGATCCAAAAGAACTCAGATTTTTGTGCGTGATGGAAATTACTATTGTATGTTACTTGGAATTCTGTATATTATGATAAGGTTTTGTGACGTCTGAATTGCATCTTTCTGCTTGAAATTGCATGTAATTCTGTATTAGATGTTAAGCTACTTACCCACTTATTTGGCTGGATATAATCAGCTACTTTCAGTAGTTCTTCTGCCATCCAAGTAATGTTGGAAAGGCGCCTTAGCGACTCTCGAACACCTTCAGAAAAGTTGACTAGTTTCTTCATCCCTGAGAATAATAATTTCCTATTCAAGCTTGTAATTCAATGAACATAATATTTAAGGCTTTTAAGCACAACTATATATATATATATATATATATATATATATATATATATATATATATCCACAGACAATGTGTTGAACTTGATCAAATTGTGAAATGAGCCATTACCTCTACCAGAAGTGTAATAGTATATGCATAGACAAGCTAATAGTCTTTCTTCAAGTTCCAGTCCAGGGTGCACATATTGCTCAATTGTACTTAGTAAGATTTCACATGCTGCATATCTCAAATCATCTGTACCTTTTGTAACCTCAGAACCAAGCCAGGTGGCAATGACTAGACAGTCTCGAGAAATGCTCTTTGACTTGCTCTTAAGTCCCTTCTCTAGAGCATGGAAAACAGGAACCCCAAACTTCAAAATGCACCTTGCAAGTTTGCCACACCATGCATCAATGCCAACATCCTACAAGTTCATTTAGTTTTCTGAAGTTATATATTTTATTTACTTTTCTCGCTATACCTATTCTCTGGTGGATAATGATTTGAGTCTTGAAGGTTAACATACCTGCAAACTTTCATCTGAGAAGTCAAATTTTTTTATCATGTTGCGGTGATACATAGAGGTCAAACCTGCCTTCTTTACTAACCATGGTATGGTATATGGTTCCCCCATCCATGAATAAGTTCCACCAAGATTTGATAGAATGAATGCTGACAGCTTCTGAGCAGCAGAATTTTCTTCATGCATCAATGACTCTAGAAAGGCTTCTATAGCCTTTTCACTGTTTATGAGTTTGTTGGATATCTCCTCCTGAAAAGTTCTCAACATTTATCCAAATTAGTGTCAGTTTTTGAGTTCTGATCTAACTTTTCTTCACTTAGTTCTGACTTGAATATCAAATAAATAGATACATTATTTGTCAGAGATTTCAAATTGAAAATTACACTCCTATACTTACTAGCGTGCTTAATTGAAGCAACAGACTTGCTGCCAAAGGCTTGTGCTCTGGTTGTGAATTCTGAAGGAGTGATAAGACACACATGTTATTGATGCTTCCTTCCTTTTGTATCTGGTGCAATACATTAACAGCTGAAGACCTGTTACCCAATTGTTCCAAAAAAAGTAACGTCATCTCAGATATTGGAAGCACTTTTTCTCATGAAACAAGTTTTATTCTCAACATTAAGGCTTATTTTTAGATTGTTCATGAATGTGAGAATATACTAAACCATGTTACATTTCCTATAGGCTATAGAAGATAACTCTTCTATCCATTGTTATGTTGCTATCAAAATTAGTACCTTAAGTAGTTTTTTAAAGAATCCTTACCGTGGTATGCAAAGCAGTTCGTGAAAATACTCTAGTGCAATTGATGTTGCACGCTTGCTGTTGCTGCTCAACAGAGTGATAAATGGAGCCACTGGAGGGGAAAGATGTGATATATGTTTTCTGCATTTCCCATCAAATTGCATGCATCTAACAAGAACTGAAGCCAAAGCAATAATCTCTTCAAGATTATTGTTTCTTGGAGCATCAAGGAGTCCTGAGAGTACTCTTGGAGAGCTGATCGCAGATAAGTGCAGATTATTTGTTGTATAATCATGTGCAGTTACTAGTACTTCAATAATCATTAATGATGCTGCAGGAGGTGTCAGCAGAAGTGATGTTAGCATACCCTTGTAGCTGTTTGAAGTGCATATAACATCCAAGAGACATGGTAAAATTTCTAACATCTGGATTTCTGCAGGACTTGGATTTATTAAATATATCAATATGGCTGCTTCATGAACATTTCTTTTAAGAGCAGTTGCCAAATGATTTAACTGCAATCCCTTTCTCTTGATGTCTTCAATAACTGATCGGTTCTTTGAAATGATAATTGATAGTGTGGATACTGTTTCTCTTATCACCTGCTCTTCTTTGGATGTTGATATAGCCCTTAGTAATTGATCTAGAATGATGTCCTTCAGTAGAGAGTACTTCATTCCTGCTTTATCATTCAGAGTTTCATATATTTTTGTGAGGTCAGCTGCATGATCTTCCTGACAATTTCTTAGTTCCTCCATAAAACATAACTTTGAAATTATTTTCTCAAGTATTCCAACTTGCTCTATATGGGTATGTCCTTCCTTTGTGATCTTGTGGTGACTTTCTCCTTTCTTCCTCACTGAAGAACTCCGCTGGCACTTTACCTGGTAGAAATGAGAATCACGCATAGACATAGAACCCCCTGTATAGCCATAAAATTCATGATCGTCGTCTATTTGTAGCTCCCCTTGCCTTGCTGCTTCTTTGTTTCTGCCAAAAACATGTTGTGCTTTGATGCTTCTGATTCCTAATGCTGATAACTTCTTACTGGGAAATGAGCTGGAGAATCTTTTGGAATAGAAATCACTGGTTTTATTTTCTGCTCTCTCTCCATATGTCCAGTGTCTATAAGCTTGAGACTTAGAGACTATGCTAGGCATGGATAAGGAGCAAACAGCTGCGTTTTCCTGATTCAGAAATAAAAAATGATATTATGAAAAGGATGAGGGGAACTTTTTATGAACAAGCCATTTGTAAGCATGCTCTTTTTTTTTTTTTTTTTTGGGCTTCAACCAATTACCTTTGGAAAACATTCTTCAGTGTCACTGCTGTCACTTAAATCTGGTGAAATGGGTGAATCTGACTGGGATTCCATTAAGATATCTTTGAGACATCTGATACTTGATGTTGTAATAGTTTCTTCAGAATATTGTGTTCTGGATTGTTTAATAGCTTGTACGTGATTTTGGAATAAGTTGTTCAAGGCCTCTGCCTTGTCAACCATATCCTCTGGTGGATGCACCTTCTCAAACTGCACTGATTCTCTGTTAATTTCAAAATAATTCAAATTGAATATATATTATGTAGGGAAACTAGAAGATCGACTGACCCCATATTCTCAATATTAAGAAGAAGTGTAACTTGACTGAGAAACTACAATCTAAAAATCAAGCATTAACATATATGTTTAAACAAATATAACAGAGCATTGCTTGTGCTTTCTTCTATATTGTAGATAGCAGGCCTTACTTTGTAACCCTTACATGAAATGACGTTACATTTCAATGCACTCTATAATGCAATGAGGAAATAGTTTGTCATCACACATCAGAGTTATTCATATATAGTTAGTTTTAATGCGCTCTATATATTTCAAATTTCAATTGGTGGACAACAGTGCAGTGTTCATTTATGTATGCTGAAGACTTGCTCCATTTTTAGTGCAGTTTTCATTCATTTTTACAAATTTGTGCTTAATTCTAGACAGACTTGCTAATCATGTTGACAAGTGTTGATTTTTATTTTTATTTTATAAGAAGTATGAACTTTATTGAAATAAAAAATGAATATGTACAAACAAGAGGACCAAAATAATGAAGATAATGGAGAGAATGTAGGATAGAAGTTTAAACAATAGCAATAGCAACAGTCTATTGGGATAAAAAAAAATGTGGAACATACATCTAAACTGAATGGAATTCTGCAGTGAGTTTGTTTACTTTTATTCCCTTTCTACACGTGTACTCCTGAATTGTTTAGCTGCAAAACATTAAAATCTAGAATCTGATTTATTTTCATTGTATGCATGTTTGACTGAAAATTTAATAATTTTAATTATTTTGTAATGAAGTTGCATTGTTGTTTAGTTTCTCCAAATTAATTTTACTTTTCCTACCTACCTAGTTTACAGGTGTTGGAAGAGGAAGAATAACTTACAGGGATTCATGGGGAGGCAAGGTTGTTTGTGTGGCCGTGGCCTGTCTTGGCTTCTGAGGAGTCTCTCTGAAATCTATTATTTGGTAGTACATTAACCAGGACTTGTATCTCTTTGCCATGTTTGCGATTGCCGCCACATCGTGTAACTGATCTTTGTGTATGGAGAGACGACACAAGGTTTTGCAAAGTTGGGGAGCCAAATCCGTATGGATTAGGGTTGGGGAGAGAGTGAGAGCCTGAAGAAAATGGATTGCTACCTGCCACTCATCCTCCTGGAGCTTCCACAGTAGGGAGAGATAAAAGTATGAGCAGGCAAGCAGTTGATGGTTTGGGATTCCTGCTGTGACTCCATGCTCATCTAGGGCGGCAGGGATTTGGAGCATCTTCTCAGAAGCATGAAGCATGGAAATTTTTTCTTCTGCCCATTTAGCTTTATTGGCTGCTTCAATAGTGTGTAAACCCCAGTAGAGATTGGAGAGGACTGAATGCTCCTCCTCATCTCCTCCTCCATCGGGGGGGATTTGAAGCTTGGAAGTGCATCTGGACTTGAAAACTTTCCATGTCTTGTTATCCGTGAGTAATGCATGCATATGGTGATTGATGAAAGTGACAAATAGGCGCACAGATTTTAGGTCTAATTTCTCATTATCCCCCCAAGTGGGAGGAGAAGAAGCAGAAGCCATTGAAATGAAGATCAGAGGCCAGGGAAGTTAATTTGTGGCAGAGAAGAAGAAGGCCATGGGGGATCGGAGAAGAAGATAGATATATAATAAGCATTACAGGAAGGTACATACGTTGTGCTCGTGAGTGAGTGTAACGTTTGAGGAGCTAGCCAACGTCTGAGGGCCCCGGCCTCAGGCCTCAACCTCTATTGTACTCCATTTTGCTACAGACAAAAATATATATATGGCCACTGGTTCCTCCAAAATAGGGAAACTCCGATCCCTCATATCATAGCCAGGTCAGGTCTCACACCCGGGCCCTGTCCCTTATCTTTTTAGCTTACCGCATGCAGCTTAAAGCTATATATGCATTTCTTTTGTGTCTGACTGGATGGGATATATATGATAATAATGTTTTGGCAACACCATATAATATATATACATACAGTACAGTATCGCTGGCACTGGCATGCAATTAGACATACATTGTCAAGTTATTTATTATATGTAAAAATTAAAGTTGAATCTAATCTGGTTAAGCAGCATTACATAAATACTCTTTGAAAAACAAAAACAAAAAAGTAAAAAGATAGCGATATGATATGATGGTTGATGGATGGTGGCCTGGAGGTAATTAAGCTAGCTGTACTGTTGGCCCCTATTGCCATGCTTTCAAATAAGTACTAGTAGTTAATTAAATTGCATCCCTGTTTAATTTTTCGCATTATATTGGTGACGTGATTGCTCTATTGACTTTCGATCTAATAATATATACACACACTCACACTCGTTTTGGGTAGAGCGAGCTTGGCCTTGGCGTGCACCGTCCTAGCATACAATTCAATATAATAATGTATGTTTAAATGATTAGATCTGTTATTGTTTCCTTAACAAATATTTTCATTCCTGGCCCAGTACTCATCAAAGCATGCACCAACATTTTTCTTATTGCGTTCAATAACACATGATTAAATATTGATAACCGTCTTACCCTCTCATAGAATTAAAATGGCTCATTATAGACACTTAGTACTTTCACTTAAAAGGCTACTAAACATTAATTTGACTCATTTATAATTTTATGTAAAGTCGGTGCGTGGGTCTGCTCCAGGGATTTCGCCTTATTTTAATTGCACCTACATGAACTCTCAAATTCTACTCCCTGATGTGGCAAGTTAGGATTGGTTATTTTCAACATGTAGGTCCACAGAAAAATGTCTACATCAAAAACATGTGAGAGAGAGTACAAGTTGGGAGTATAAAATGATAGTACACTAAGTATTTTCCAATCTAAAAAGTTAAACCTGAAATCTCGGAATCTTAACCTTGATGTGGGTTTTGTGCATTACTACCACGTACACGGCACCACGCAGTAGTAATAAATAAATAGACATATATGCATGCATTGGCTATCGCGTGGCTAATATTTCTGTGCCAGCACATTTGTTTTGAGTCAATCTGCCTCCCGTGAACTTACCCGGGCCCCATCTCATTTCATGTCAGAAATTCGGAATGATTGAAGAAACAAAAATGAAGCATCATATGTGTGTCTTCATCTACTCTAGTCTAGCTAGCTACGATAATATATACATGATCAAAAAAGTACAAGTATTATTAAAATAATTCACAATCTACAAATTAAATTAAGCTATATATCCCGGCCTGGCTTCTCTCTAATCATATATTCATATCTCCACTCACATGATGAATTAATTATATTGAATATTATAAAGATTATACTCGTGATGGTAGATACATTTAGAAGGGTGAGTGTGAAATGTTAAAATACTATATGCATGTGGTAGCCATGATACTCGATCCATTATTTACATATATATATATATATATATATATATATATATATATATATTTGAGACGGGTGTGAATTGCTCTTCCATACGAACGTATGAACTAAAAGAATGTACTGAAATTACTCCACGAATGGTCTTTGGACTCTCAAGCATGCAAGAGTAGTGTGGTGCATCGGCCTATGCATGCTAGAGTAGTGTGGTGTATTCATAAAGAAATTGTAATATATTTTTTTTCAGTTCACACAAAATTCATTTCACAGAGAATTTATTATTAGTTTAAAGCTTTTTGATAATATAGGTAAAACACAATTGTAATAAACTAATATAAAAAGTAACAATGTAATTAAGGGATATAACTTAGCATAACTAACACACCATCGCAACCAAAAACAAAAATAATAAAGTATCACATGCATGCATGTTGAAAATCATGGTTAATTGTATGTCAAGTGTTAAATATATATATAATGTCGTATATAACTCCGGGTGGGTGGGTGGGTGGGGGGAGTAGAAATGCTAATTATGATTGATTAGTATTAAAGGTAGGAATATAACTATATATAATCAAGGTTGGGTTGTTTGTTTTGTAGCTCGTGGATGACAACTAGTATAAAATAATGTAATTACGTGTAGGTACACCCTAAACCCTAAAATAAACCACAGCAGAATTAATTTGGAGCTTGTCACATGCAATGCGCCCATAGCATCTTGACCTGTCTGGCTGTCTGTCACTCTGTCAGTATGTCTGCCAGAATGTGTCTCATAATCTTTTCTTCACTGACTATATGTTGTATTGTATAATTTACCTAATTATTAGAAGTACTGAATCGGAGTCTTCCCTCCGTACTATACTAAAATGAATAAAAATACACACCAAATTTCTTAGACGACCAGCTACCTCTAGCTAGGTAGGTAGTCAGGTAGATAGCTAGACTCAATATAAATTTAATAAACGTAAAAGTACAATTAGGTCACTAAATAAGATATTTTCAAAATTATCTTTTATTGAATATCAAAAACTCTAAGGGAGCGTTTGGTTCAGGTTATATAACATAACTAAGGGAATGTGACATTCCAAAGCTCACATTTCTATGTTTGGTTCACATTATCTCAGGGAATCTAACATTCCCCAGGAATGTCACATTCCCTCCACATAGGATTTTGAAGGGAATGTGATTCCCTTCAATTTCTAAGGTTATGTAAGATAACCTTGGTTCTGTTAGTTTATTACACACACACACTGACACACACACACACACACATATATAATTATTTTTATATTTTTTATTTTTATTATGTTAGGTTAGCATATAAAATAATTTTGTTTCTCAAGTTCAATATTTTAGTTAATATTTTAAAATCATGTAATTATATATGATACCATTATCTTATTTATTTATTTTAGTTTTTAAATTTATTATTAAGGATATTATAGTGTGTGAATAAAAGATAACCCTAAACCAAACATGATTATATTACATACCCCAATTTTAACCAAACAGGAATCTAATATTTTCAGCAATCTAACATTCATAGCAATCTAACATTCCCTAAGGTAATCTGACATTCCGTGAACCAAACGACCCCTAAGTACATAACCCCAAAAGTGATCTAATGCAAAGTATAAGAGGCCAAAACCTTATAGAATTAGGCCCAAAAATGACCTAATACAAAACCGAAGAGGCCTAAGCCTTAAAAAATTAGGTCCAAAAGTGACCTAATAAAATAGGTCCAACATGATCCCAACCAAATACTCACAATAGAGACCAAGTCTTAAACTATAGCACAACTGCATGTCAATTCAGCCCAAAACCAAATTGAGCCTCACGGCCAAACTCTCCAAATATCACATGATCATTATTGTGTGAACCATAGTTCACAAAGTTGTGTAAATCATACTATCAAATAATATACATTTAATATATAAATAATGTATTTTAAGCATATTAAATTTTACATTATATTAAAAATACATTATTTAAGTACTAAAAGTAAATTATTTTATATATTGAAAGTACATTTAATATTAATAATGTATTAATAATGTATTTTTTGTTATAGTCCATACAACACTGTGTGAATTATGGTCCACATAATAATTTGCCTAATTATTGTGTGGACCATGATCCACACAGTGCTGATGATAGTGTTGATAAGGGATAATTTGGTCAAAAGTAAAAAATATATATTTTGACCCTTGAATACTTTTTAAAAAGTTTTAATAAACTTTATTCACCACTAGGATAAGGGGTAGTTTGGTAAAAAAAAAATTATAAACTAAAGAATTAGAGAAAAAAGTTTAAGGGATAATTTGGTCAAAAGTAAAAAAAAAAATATTTCGACACTTAAAAAAAATAATAAACTTTATTCACCACTATTATCAGTATAAGGGGTAGTTTGGTAAAAATTTTAAAAATATATTTATAAATTAAAGAATTTGAAAAATAAAATATAAGTGGTAATTTGGTCAAAAATAAAAATAAAAATATTTCGACCACTGAATAAGTTTATAAATTTTTTTAATAAACTTTATTCACCACTATTATCAGTATAAGGAGTAGTTTGGTAAAACAAATATTTATAAAAGCTCGCAACATCTTGTTGTTCAATCGTTAGAGCTACGATGATGTACAGTCACATTGTTACGATCACCGTAACGAATAAGAAACCTTATGAGCATGGTTTCTAACAGTATTCGAATCACGTCAAACTCTAATTTCACACTTTGATTTTGCGATGACTCCAAGAATAATAACTAAAAGACTTTAATTACAATATATTTCTCTAAATCTTAATCTTCATATACAATGGGCTTATTTTTTTAACATCTAATTATGTAATAAAATGTTGACCGATTACCTTTTGATAACCTGTTAAATAAGTTAATTGCACAAATCTAACAAGTTTAAGGATCTAATTAGATGTTTTTATAGTTTGAGGGTCTAATTGAACTTTGGTATATAGATGGAGGGTCTATTTGACCATTATCCCTAAAATATCTAATTTTGAGAAGTTTCAAACCAGCAAAATCTCCAAGGAAGGGGAGGAATCCACCTACTTGGATGAGGGGGAATTGACTGAAATGGACATGTGTCCAGTAGTGTTGATAATAATAGGAAGATTTTAAGCCAGGTACAAAAATAGGCAAAACGCGTTTGAGACTTGCGTCTCTTGTCAAAAAACGTGAGTTCCAAACGTGTTTTTTGAAATTTGGCAATTTTTTTTTTGGATTACTCAACATGAAACGTAAGTGGCACTTGCGTTTCACGTAGTATACGAGAAACACAAGTGCCATTTGTGTCTCTCATCCGTAGATCTTAAAGGCCATATGCTTATGCCAACATGCACTAAAAAGAATATCAGAACTCACAGGCTCAGGTCTTAACAAAGATTTAGCATGAGAGAAAGAAAACAAATC